AAATTACCATTTATGGAAAATTTATAGTACATTTCTAGGATGTTTCTGACTTATCTCAAGTAAAAGTCTTCTAGCTCATAAAATAGCTTCAAAATCCATCAGAAATGGCAATTTCAGGACCATCAAAAGTTTTCCTTGCCTGGACCTTTCCTCATTGCAAACATGAGGCGGAAATGATTTCTACATATGTTCTTTCAGATGTCCTGAAATGCGCCACAAAGTCTCCTGAAACATGAACTCTTTGCTGTACTGAAATGTAGTCATATTCAGTCATTTCAGGTTCATTTCAGGCTACACAAAATTTATCATTTTCCTGCACCGCAAATGGCTACAAAAGTGGTAGCAAATCTATCATTTTGGGACACCAGAAAGCCCCGGTTAAGCCTTCGAAAATGAAACAGTTTTGATAGCTTGACCAGGACATTTCAGGTGATCTGAAATCAGCTCATGCCCGTAGTGGTTGCTCCTCCCAGTCACCATTGCTCTTACATGCTGTAAATGGAAGTGAACAGAACTCGTTGTGAGTACCCGTTCATATATATCTTTGCTGACTGGTCGCCTCGTACGCTCGAGTTGTTGTATTTTATCCAGTCATCGACTCGTCCTGGCAGGACGATGCTGTACGTAGCGACAGCTGGGCGCTTGACTTGCGCAGGCGAGAGCACAATTTCAAGCTTGTTAGGCTTGCACTTGATTTCATCACACAGTACGCACCGAATGACCCCTCCTACTACCGCTTCCTGCCAAAATTTCGCCCTCTTTGTGGCCCCAGAGACCCACGACTCCAACATCCTGAACGCGCTCTTGGGCAAAAGCGACTTTGCTGAGGAACCTAAGGTGGATGTGCAGCGGCTTCGACGCCCGCTGATGGATGTCCTGAAGGTCACCACCAATCGTGTTCGGGCCGATGAGGACCAGACCAGCATATCTACTCTTTCTCCTGCACTCGACATATCCGAGTCACACTGGTCCGGCTAATTCTACCCCAACCTTGATGGTGCAATGAGGCGGCTCGGACGAACGAACTCAAGCTTCATGCATTCATACTCTGTATCATCTCGAACGACATATCTTTCGGCGAGTGTTTGTACCCATCCTCGCATGACGATCTCCAACCTTCTCCAGCTCACCCCACTCATCTGCGAGCTCGGGAAAAGAGAGAGTACGATCCCACACGGCTACTAGAACGCCGTGGTGCTCTCTGTCTGCCGTTAGCTTGGCCCTCGTTGAGTCTCACCCCATTCCCGCACTTAACGAAGCTCCGAGAGGAGTCGGGCAACGCCGGAAGGGAGCGAGTGTGCGCCACATATTTTCATGCCCGGCTCTCCATCCTTGTACTATAAATGAGTGACGTTGTTGTATGCATTATTGTTTTGTCTAGCATCTTGCTCATAAAATCTTGATACACCTACCTAAGCTCACGTCCTGACTATGCTGGTAGTCGACAACAGAGAAGCAGTCACGACCAAGTCAAACTTTGACACGAACACCACAAATCTTGCTCGAAGAATTGTATAACGAGTATCGCGTCGAGATACAAGACGCGTTCAGCGCAGGAAAACCTCTCCTGAGACGTGAATACTTTTGGAGCAGCGACTACAGAACTATGTTAGCGAAGATCTACGCGACTTTGGAAATGCGAACCTGCATCTGCTCAGGAACGAATCTATATACTAGCAATGTCCGACAGTACTCCTGGACAACAGGCGAACAAAAATTCAGAACGAAAGATACTTCAATCGTGGGGTGGGATAATGATACACTTTTGAGTGTTTACATGCGGAAGCGGATAGCGTTGGTACATCAACGAAGACAAAATGATACGTACTATACAGGATGCAGAGAACATGACAAGGCTGGGGACGGCGGAGAGACGACATGACGAGCATGGACGAAAGCGATGACCGGAACGGCGAGAGCAGCTGGAACACAGATAATTGGCGGGACGGAAGGGCGCATTTTGAAGGGCGGATCGGACAAGGAGACGTTGAGCGATGGAAGGGAAGCGACGACGCGCAGCGCGTGCGCGTGCGCGTCCATCAACACGTCGACGGCCTGCGCGTAGATCGCCAGCGGAATCTCCGATGTCGGCAACACCATCGAGACCGAGAGATCAGCGGCGGTAAGCGACATGCCAGCAGTCGCGCGGCCACCACGAGGTCCCTCGACACCAGCCTGTGCATCTGCAGGACGCACTGCCCCGCTCCCTCCACTCTATTCCTGACGGCTACGCCTTGACCCGCTTGCCACTCTGCGCGGCTATCGCGCTGTCCTCCAGCTCCTCGGACGACCTTTTGCGCATACGGATGGGCGACGGCGTCACAAGCTGCTTTGGTTCAGATTCAGCGTCCGCCAGCCGGGCTCGCTTGGGCGGTGTGCCCTCGCGCTCGACATCCTCCTGGTCGCCTTCAAGCGCGTTGTCTACTGGTTCCACTATCTCTTCCAGGGTCCGCTTTGGGGTCCGTGGTGTCGACACTTTCTCGCCTTGCCACGGAAATGTACCATCGTCGAGCTCTGATTCGATGTCGTCGTCGTCAAGATCAGCATCAGCGTCGAGGTCCTCTTCTTCCTCTTCTTCTTCCGCTTCTTGGCGGAGAGCAAGAAGCGACGCTTCCTCAATCTTGATTACCAGTTGTTTAGCCTCCCCCTGGACATCGCTGTTCCGACGCTTGTTCGTCTGCTCTTCTACGGGCACTAGGTTGGAAGGCCTCTGGTTTGCGTTCGGCGAGTTTGTGTTCGCGGCCAGCATAGCCCGTTCACATATCGAGCATCGACACTGGTACAAGGGCGCACATGCTTCTCGCCAGATCTGCAGAAAGTCGTACGTTAGAACAATTTATCGCCAAGAGAGAGGTGAACGTCACGAACCGTACGGATACAGTCGATGCTATACTGCGGAAGGTGAGCTACAGTCACAGGAACGTACGGTACGGGGCGGATCAGCTCATGCGTTTGCAAAGCTGCTGCTTCAGAAACCGGGATAGTGGGCGACGACACCGCCACAGGGGACGATTCCGGGTCGTCGTCTTTGACGCTGCTGGGAGGTGGCGAGGGTGTGGTCTGCAGAGTGGTTGTCGACAAGACCGGACTAGTTTCGTGCGATCCACCCGATCGCGATGAAGACAAAGACTCCTCATCGACACTCCTCTGCCTCCGCTGACGTTCTTCACGTTCTCGAATGACTCGTCGCTCGATCCAGTCGACGCCCTTGGACCACGTGGCATGAACCCGGAGCTCCTTGACAACCTCTTCCAAAGTCATCTTGGATGCTCGCAGAGTGGGATCTACGCCGTCAGCCTGGGACTCCATCAGGATACGCCTGACGATGTTCGTCATTGCAGGTAGCAGAATCTCCCGCATGACGCGCTGGTATGCTCGGTACACGACCTCACATAGCGCAAATGTAGGCGGACACGCGGCATTATAGGTCCGTGGCCGCGGATGTTCAAGCTCCTCGCCATCGCCTGCGCTTTCACCCTCCTCAAGGGCCCCGCTGTAGGTCGCACCATGCCACGGACACGGATGTTGTGCCGATACAACATCAGGTTGCCCCGGTACGGAATTGTCGTACCACTGATCAGCCGGTGCGACCCAGTGTCCATCGAGTACCCTGTTCCTCGCCCAGTCGGTGATTGCAAGGTCTCGGATCCCCCCGGCATCTTCCGTCAAACTCATCAACTCCGGGTCCTCTTCCTCTTCGCCACTCAAGTCCTCATCGCTATCGCCCTCGTATCCCGCTTCGGCGCGAGCAACGAAGCGAGACGAAGCGAGGGCTTGACTGAGAAGCTCCGCAATCTTGGTGTTGCTGCGGAGCCAATGCTTTTCACGGGCGAGGGCGAGTACGTCGGAGATGCAGCCTTCGCCCATGTCAACGAACGTCTCCACTGCTTGCCCTATCTCCCAGTCCGGAGCGTGTTTCCACTTCAAGGGATGACTTCCAAGCGCTTGGCGGTCAAGTGGATCTCGGACGGCTCTCCTCCACAGACCCTCTCCTCGACAATGACGACAAGTCGCCTCCACTCCAGGCCATGTTTCTTCATCCTCGTTCTCCGCGACGCACACCATAAGGTGCGTGTCATCATGAGGTGCTGTGCGCAAGCACAGGGAACAAAACGTTCCCTTGCGGTGCTCGCGACAGACGGTGAACATGTTGAGTTGGGGATTGTAGGCGACCCGCTTCCCCGTGCCAAAACCGAGGGTAGAGCCCGGATAGTTAAGCCGACAGACCAGGCAAGAGTACATTGATATCTGGCGGAAGTGCCTGTACGGAGGTAGACGTTGCACTGGCGCTTTGTTCGAACCGGCGGTAGGGGGCGAGCGAATGACGGCATGGTGGGCAAGTACTTCGTTGGGATCGATGGCTGCACAAGCGTGTTGCCAGAATGGATGATACTCGACTGTGTGAAGCAGAATTGGAGGTCAGCGAGAAGTTGTGATGGCTTTGATCCCGCGCGTTATGACAGGCACGAGAAGCTCTCGTATTCAATCTTCCGCTATGGCGGTTAAACGCGATGGACGCCGCTACGCGTCGGGACAGAGGGCGAGACACGCGCTTTGAAAGGTCATGTCTCAGAACGGATGATTTACTCACGAGCAGCGGACCACGGCATGCATATAGCCATCAGCCTTTCCACTTCCACAGCATCTCGGAGGGCGGTGTATATTATTCGCGAATGCCAAAAATCTTTGTAGTCCCACGTCGTGGGGACGTAAAGGCTCGGCGAGACTAGCGACAGGTAGTGCGACGCAATGTGTCTGAAATGCAGAGACTCAGATTGCCATGGGTGGCGCAGAGGCTGCGCGCGACAGACCTGACGACCTCGGGCGGTAGCTGCGCCCAAGAGCGGATGATTTTACCCTTGTAGCCGAAGGCATCGCCCGAGAGGGGTATGGGTGCGCGCACGCAGGACGTCGTGGCAATGGTCGCCGTCGCTGTGGACGACATGGAGGTCGCTGTCGGGCGTCGGGCTCGACGTAGCGTCACAAACGAGGGGGAAGTGACAGATCTGTGTCACGGTCAGATTCAACCGGCCCCTAAACACCCACGCCTGCACGTGCCGATGACATAAGCTTGGGCCTGCGCACGGACCACGAGGCACATCGTTAACCAAATCCGGCAAGGCTGATTGTTTGCACATCGCTTCCTCTCCTTGGTTTCCAACTGCAGACCCTCTGGATTCATCTACAACGTGCTCATACACTCGAGAGAACTAGCTGTGTTATGCAAAAAATATGCGAATTAGACATGCTGCGCCCTGTGTACGCTCGCACGTTCCGCTCATGGCTGGAGACGCTCGCCTTCTCCCGGACCACAGGTTCTGACTCGTTGTCCAGGGTCTCCTTCCTATACACCTCTAAACGCTTCCAGAAGCATACCACGCACAGCAATGGAGACGAAGTTATGATAACCAGCTCTCGCCTTTTGCTCTGCCTGCCACTGTCACTTTCTGGTCTGCCATAACCTGCCAAGGTCGACAGTGGCACTCAGTCACAGCACTCGACGAGACGGCAATGGGTCAATGATAACACAGCCTTCAGAGGGGGCCGGTTCAGCCGGAGGCACCATGGCGTGCTCAGGGTCGTGGTCCGGGAGAAGTCAGCTTATCGGCGCACTCCTTCTCCACGGCAGGGCTCTCTGTGCGCCGGCTATGTGTTTCCTTGCAAAAGCAGCAAGAGCCGCCACCAACGCGAGACACACGCACCATTGAGCGGTTCTTGCCCCGTTACTCTTTCATGTCGTGACATCGAGAACTAGACGAACCCCCATCTGACCACGCCTTGCACACGGGAAACACTTCAGACACCTTCTTCGGACTAGACGATCTTCGCGTTTAAGCCTGCTGCCTATTCTTGTGATAGCGTTATGTGCAGCCGCAGGCCATGCGCAGCCATGCGGGTCCAGGCCTCGGCAGTAGGATGGCCGTGGGCTTAAGTTCAAGCTCGCTATAACATGTGCTCAGCGGGACGTGCATGATCGAGGCAACACCCTTACTTCAGTTAATGACAGCGACTCGTAAAGACCTTACTAGAGGTCTGCATGTTATGTCTGTTATTAAACTCAGTGACTAAGCACATCATCTTCATAGTCATAGTGCCCGTTTAGCTCAGTGGTAGAGCGCGCCACTCGTAATGGTGAGGTCGGTTGTTCAATCCAGCCAATGGGCAATACGTTTTTGCCATCGCTTTTGCGTCTTTATAACCGTTGTGGACGAACGGCCTAGCACTCTAGCTGTGAGATCATAGCGGTGTAAAAAAAAATCTGTGCAGCAACGAGGTGTCCAATGACATTTGCAGCATGGCCAGAGCGAGGGTGGTCATCGCCAGCCGAGAGGTAGACGCCACTTCACGCGCCCGGTGGATTATCATTGCGCCGCACATAACCGGCAGACCAGGATCGCCTGCCCGCATGCTTGGAATGCTGTGTGGACTCCTGTTGAGGACCGTGAGCAGACAGCCGCAATGGAACACCACCGGGGGATCGACAGGCACCACCCAGGACGGATGCCGCCGCTCTTCGCGTGAGATCGATCCCGATCAACGCGCCCTTCGCCGCGCATTGCAGTCCCGCGGGCGCGCTTGACGGCGAGCGGAGGCTTTAACCTAACGACGGCGGAAAGAGGGAACCCTGTACGGCGTTCGCGCTAGCGGTTGCTGTGGTAACGACTTAAACAGTTCGGCGTCCCCGCACCATGCGTAGTCCTGCAGGCATGCCAAGTCTAGATGGAGTGCTGATCAGTCAGTTCGCCGTTCTTACGCTGAGCGAGAACAGAAGACTTGCGGTAAGTATGTTCTTATTCAGGCTAGTCATCGATAGCGGGCTGACATGTCGACCGACCCTGGCTCAGGGTTTCAGCAGTCTCGTGTTGATACTGGCGGCAGCGGCGGCGGCGGCAGGCGAGCTGACATGCACGTCCTGCTACGGTTTAAGAGATGGTGAGATACTTTCTGTTGATAACTGAGCACTGTTGTGAAACATTAGTAAGGCACGATACTTAGCTGTGTCGACAACAATGGCAGCTCTCAGGTTGAGGCCGATGCTTCTCTCAGCAACGAGGTACGCGATAATCGTTCACCATTAGCGATGATACAAGTTTACGACTTACATGTGGCTACTTCCAGGCGTCTTCCGACTGTGCAGAACGCCTGTCGAGGTCACCTGGGCGGTGCTGGTCAAGTAGCAATTGTTCCGGGTGAGTATTATTTGCGAGTACTAGTGAAGTTGATATTGAGCGTGTCTTCAGATATCTTCGGCGGTCGTGTAGCATGAAAATGTTGCAGCATCTGTCATCGTCCGTTTCCACGCCGCTGTGATGACACGGCCTCGGACTATATATGGTTACACGACAGGCCATCCCGCCGGGATACTTGTCCTCGACGCGTACAACAAAGGAGCCGTGCACCCGAAAGAAGAGGGTGAGAAGCGAACGGCCTTGAGTCTCGCCTCGCGTATCGTCAGCCCTCTCGCGCTGGAAGCCTCGGTCAACATGGCCGATGATCTGCTCAGAGTAACCTGACAGCGAGACCATGCCGACGTAAGCTCCCATATCGCAAACAAAATGGCCTTGTACAACTCACAGAATCAGCAATAGATGACCATAAACAGCGTGAGGCGGGTGAGAGGTGTGGACTGTGTTCGCCCGACGGGAGAAGGTCGGGTGAGATTGGCTGGTGGGGAGCACTGGGTGAGTACCCCCCCGCGCATCGTGGAAAGAGGCCACTCATGACCAGGGCAGCAGGGTGTGCGGAGATGCTAACGAGGCTGTCTGGAAGAATTCGCGATCTCCGAACAACCAACCGACCGAGACCTTCCGTAAGCAGCCCGCTTGCTTGGATGGCTGATTGTCCTTTTTCCAACAGGGCGCGAACTATAATCTGAATGTATAATTAGAGCTCCGTAAGTTTCTTTTTCTTTGTTCTTGTACTTACTTTCCACTTCTGTCTAAATTATTCGCTTGCCACAGGGTCGGTCAGAAGCTGGAGAAGAGACTGCCCCATCTCCGACAGGGCGCCTCGAGGCATACCAAACAGCGGAAGCCGACCAAATTGCTCTTGTTTGCGTCCATCACCCAATTGCTTACCCTTTTCAAGCTGTATCACAAACCATGCGACAACCTCAAGACGTCTTCGGCTGCTCGGCTACAATGCGAACAAACCTACCGACGCGCTAGTGTGAAATAAGAGATACAAGCTGTCTTTCTCCCGTCTCTCACGCTGTCCGGAGAAAGCGTGAATATCTCTTGCTGTCGCGGATCGTTCTCCCTGGGGATTCGATTCTCAGCCTCGCATGGTTCGCAATTTCAGGCAATCGCAGGTGCTCCGCAATGGTCCAATCCCCCCAATTAATCTCTGAGGCTGGCCGTGATGGCTTGCCCAACCATGCGCCGCCTGCGAACCTTGTCCTACGTTCATCCGCCGACCATGCGGCAACTCATGAACTCAGCATTACGGAAACACCGCCAATGGCAACGAACACGCGGACCAAAGGTTGTCTTGTTACTGGCAGCGTTCCGGTCAACGGGATGCCTTCCTTTGTGTTCGCTTCCAGGGTCTGGGTTGTTGTTCACTCGCACAGCTGGAGCATCGCTTCTTGCGCCAGGTGCCAGCTCACGGCCACGGCCACGGGCGGATGTAATCAGGCTCGACACAACAGAAGCCAGGCAGACCCTTTCCCGATATCGTCCTAGACAACCCGCGCACGGGTGTTGCTGACGCCTATCTTCGTATCCCTTACCACGCGGTACCAACCTGTCAAGGCAGCCGCGCTGCCTGCTGTCAAGTCGCCCTGCGTAGGGCTTCGGCTCCCGCATGCTTCTCCCTCGTCGCCTGCCAGCTCACCAACCCTCGACGGGCACTGTTCTCAAAGACTCATGATACGGCCTATTTATGTAAAAACTAACGGCGAGCACCGCGCAGCTCATGACGGAGGTGTACTCTCTCCGAGCTTGACCCCAGCATGGGGCTGTCCCGCCCTGGGGACAGCTCATAGATTAGACAAATATGAAGACTACTGCGGTCGGCTCGTAGCTGTCAAATGTAATGTGTGTACGGACTCTATTAGGTTACGATGGAGTGGGGCACAAGGTCTACTCAGCCACGAAGGGCCGGTGCTCGCCTCCCTGCAGATGATGTACATCGCACCCACGAACTACCGACCTCCCGCGAAGCGAGAGAGAGGCGCGTAGGCGCACCGACGTGCCGTCGCTGGCGCGTCGCATCCGCGTCCACGCGGTTCGCGGCACCGTCCTCTCGCGGACCCTTGGTAGAAATTTTGCATGCCCGAGGCGATCCGCGCGTCCGACGGCGGCCAGGTACAAGCAGCGCTGATAGCCGACACACCGCATGCAGCGTCATAACCTCCTCCCATAGCGCTACAGACTCTATTACAGATCGTCGTGATGCACAGCTACAGACTGAGGTCTCTTCGGAGATTTCGGCACAGCCAGGCTCGGACGCATACGAGCACCGACGGCGGGTCCGGCTCGGGAACCGTGTGGTAGCCGCCAATTCACTTGAGAGCGTTGTGGGGTAGCGGTGGATTTAGTTGCTCTCCACACCGGTCGTTCGTTGCCTCCAGGATCATGTGTGAAGGTGTGGGGATGCGGTTGAGCTTTGGGCCTCTTGTTTGATGCGCCGCAGGAAGTTCGTTGCTGATTGGACAGCAGTCGAATTGGCGCCGGTCGACGCGCTGGGATGGAAATGCCAGCCAAACGTGAGTTTTGAGTTTCAGGAACGAGTCGCAGAGTGACGGTTGCATGCGAAGCTGTACGTTAAGTCATGTTCACTGGAGGTAGCATGACAGACAGTGGAGTTAACACGGGGGAACTGTATGCAAGATGTGAAAGAACTCATCTTATGGAACCAATGCACAGACAAGAGCTGTTCACTGGCTGTAAATAAAATAAAATTCGTAGTTCTGTGGGAGAAAGAATACAGCAGTGTTCCATCTGTTTCAGTGTAACGTGGGAGGGCATCTGCCGTGCAGGTTTTCCATTCCCCACATCCTGGAGCAGAAGTATCAGACGCATATGTTTCGATCCGGTTCAACTCGGAGCAACTCAACTCGGAGCGGAATGGCATCTTCACGGGTTGCAAGATTCGTAGCCACGGAAAGGCGACATATCCTACATAAGATTGCGCTGTCAAAAGCCGAGCTGCGCCGGGGACGGGTGCAATGGTATGTTCTCCGTCTAAATTGCATCCGTCTTGAATAATCAAAACCGACATGATCACAATTTCTAGTGTTACGGTGCTAATAGAAAATCCGAACGACTCCGTGCATAACCTCCGCAAGATCGTCACTGATCCCGGAGCTGAGAAAGCGAGAGGAAAAGGGCTTACATGCGCGATCAACGCCACGAAGTCCCCGCTCACGTGATTCAGCCGAAGCGGGACGTGTGTGGCCGGTTGCTATGTTGACGCACTCACCCTTCTATGCAGGATCCTCGCCTTATTGTTGTATGTTCGATGTTCGCTCCTTTAACTTCGAGGGCAAGCATGGTGCATATGCAAGCGGGCTCGGAAGCTGTCGTGCGCGGTTTTCGCGCTGGTAGGACACGAACTCTTGGGGTTAGATAACGCGGTGCAACTGAGGCGAAGGGGAGGAGAGACTAGTCTGGCTGCGGGTGCGTGTCAATTGGTTTACATTGCATTCAATTTCTGAGCTAGAGTCTCCCACTGCAGAAATTCAACGCCATTTACTACCTAGCGCGACCACCTAGCCTCCGTAAGTGACTCACTCCAGTCCATGACATCAGAAACTACGTAGTGCAGCTTCTGCACACTAGGATCACCGCACTCGAAGGGTCCAGCAGCTCATAGACTCGCCAGACCACTCGCCCCACCGCCACCCCGACGGCTGTGAGCCGTGACCGCGGCGGTTCGCTCCCGATACAGTACGCACTTCCGCGACCCTTGCCGTACGCCGTGACTCGAAATGACACACCTCCGAGCGCAGCTCAAGCGAAGCGGGAGCTAGGTTCTTCTCCAATTGGAGCACTCCCCTTCCACCACGTGAAGACCGGCTCATCACCACTATCTTCTCATGCTGCCAAAGAAGGCTGCGCCGATTTCCACTTACACATCCCATGCGAAGACCCCGTGCTCACAATCGCCAGTGAGAAGAGAACTGCGTAGACGTACTGTTTACTCTCCCGAACGAACGTGGTGGCGCCGCCTTCTCTAGAACACGGAGCAACATCCAAGTTTTCTGCTTCTGTTCGGTTCTACAGGAGGTCATACGGAACAAGCTTGTACGTTCTTACGCGTTTATAGGGAAAGATGACGTCCCCCCGCGTTGCGTCTCTATTTTAACATGGCCAGAATGCTTGCGATTTTGAGAATACATCCAAACGCGTTCATCGTTCTTGCATACAAAAGCTTAAAGTGCGACCCGACAGGTGACGCCCACAAACCGATGCGCGTCGCTGCGCCGAAAGCCAGGGTCGCCGCGCTAGAAGCGCACCGCGCATTGTTCTAGTGTGTCCTAGCTACTTCTCCCTGGCGCGATGCATCCCGCATCTGCAGAGCACCGCGCCCTAGAACCCAGTCCACACTGGCGACATGAGCCGCGGACTGCCGCAAGCCGCACTTCGTTATGGGAGACGTAAACGTATGCATCTCCGGCCGCGGTGGTGCACGGGAGAAGGCGCGTAGCCTATCTCGGCGCCACCAGGCGCACCGAAAGAAACGCCGGGCGTCGGCGCTCGATCGCCAGCACCGTTCCCCACGGGGGCTAGGATGCCATCGCAAAGTGAGGCTCTCTTTGTTTTTGCAACTCAGCGCGCGCGCACAACGCGGTATTTACCGTCCAGCTGTTATTGTGAACCTTGTTCACACCCGTCAGCTGACTGCGAGTAGCGCACTGTGAACAACGGGAGTGATACTTATTTTTGGTGAAGACGTCCCATGGGTAGAGGAATATGTACGCAATCTGGACGAGGGTGGGTCGGGCCCGGGTGGAAAAAGAGCTAGTTTACGTACCACAGAGCTTTTGAGAGTTCTCTCGCTTCTGCTCCCACGACGAAAGCAGGGCTCTGTGGCTCGGTCGTGCGGGCAGTGCAATGCACCGAGGCTTCTCCTAGGTTCTGAGAACGGAAACAAAGGACACAACAAGCTCGGTGGGAAGAGGCTGTAAGCACGCGTCCCGCACAGGTATGCAGAGGGTACGGAACTTGTAGGGCGCCTTCGCAGCAGACAGGCCACAATCGCCCAATTCCCACCGACCCGTTATCCATCTTCCACAGAGATACGCGAGCGATATTCCAGAAAAACTAGTCTCAGATTCTGCAAACTCTGCAATTATGGGATGTACACGGAACAAAAGACGAACCCGCCGATGGTGGAGCGTGACCCAGACTGTTGGATATTGTCATCTTGTGTGCGGCTTCGTGAGCCATGGCCGCTGTTCGCGATACGCCTGGCAGTGATAGGCTATCTGGCACGCAGAGCGTTGGAGTTGCGGGGTGTGGTGGGGGAGGATGGGGCAGCTGGTGGTTGCAGAGAGCGAGAGCGAGCAGGGTGTTGTTGCCCCCGGTTCGAATGTCTTACCGGCCGAGAGCGGCGTTCAAACATTCGCGGATATACGGCGAACTACGGTCGGACCGCCGCAATGGATCGTCAACTGCGAGCGATCATAGGTTGGTGCAGGACTGCGCAGAGGGCGACCGGGCCAAGGAGCGACACCTCGCACGGCACGAGGCGGGACCCGGAGGCGCTGTTGCCGCCGCCAACCATATGCGGATAAGGCATCAACAGCTTGACAGCACTCGCGTGGCACGACCGTACTGAGAGCTGGTACGATTCGGTCGGGGGCGCCTCCACGTCCTGAGCGCAATTGCAATGCCCCACGAGACTACCGAGCATGCGCAGCGCACAACATCCGCAGTGGGTCGGCGGGAGCTGAGCCTGTCGGTTGGGACGTCATCGAGGATTCGTTTCGCGGGATGATTCGCAGAAGGAGGGTCGCACCGTGCGAGCAGCGCCGAGAGGGCCGTCTCCCATCACGCGTTCACGCCGCGATTGGCTATCACCTCGCCGGGTGTCTGATGGCGGTCATTGGTCAAAAATACATCCCCATGATTGGCCTGGGCCTGCCAGCAGACAAATAACGCGCCCCGCCGGACGCAGCTTCCGCGCCTGCGACCGAGAAAATCATGCACGCTCTCAATAGCGTATATCGCAAACCGCAAACCGCCGTGAGTAGCAATACATTCAAGGTGGAGGTTTGCGTCTCGACCCTTGTGCCCAGAGCGGGATCCCGATGTACACGGTAAAGGTACTCGTCGCGTCATGAAGACGCGTCGTCGCGGTACCCGCCGTTCCGACGTCACTTTGCACAAGCTGGAGCTCCCGTAAAGCGTGCCTCGCCCTGGGCCTTGTCTATGTATCGCAATATTGCGTACCACGTATCCTCTACTTTCAATACGACGTGCGTACCCAAGGCACGCGCACTTGCGCCAATTTGATTTCTATTCCGGACAGGCTTGACATATCAGCACACCCGATATGAGACATCAGTTGTTTCGACACACCGACGACATATCCCCTCCTCCAATTAGATCCAAGTCCGCCGTTGTGCTATCAGCACGGACACTCCATTCGTGCACTCTATTCTCCTCCCGCGCAGATGGACCTGGCGGACATGGCGGGCGTGGGACTGCGATTCGCGGCAGCACCACGTACGTCCCGCGCGCTCGAGAAGACCTGGACCCTTGGCATAACGTGGCGCTGACGTGCCGTTGTGGGCTAGAGATGTGATGGCTACGCGTCGGGACTGCCTTCTTTGCGCATCGCCTTACGCATTTCTGCTTAGTCGCGCCCGACGCTAGCCGCGTTTGGCACAGCCTCTGATCTCCAAGGCGGGCTACTGAGACCAGAGAGCCTGGGCGCACGCCGCGGACTTTGGCTTCCGGTCGAGTTCAGGGACCCTTTCCTGCCGTCACGCCTGCAACTAATTTCTCCGGGTATGCAAAAGACGACATACGGCTCCCGGACGAGTGGCCAATGGCACGCGGGCGCGTGATCGCGCCTTCAGCTGGAGCGCACGGCTTGAGACGTAAACCTCCCGCGGAAGCCCTCCGTCTGATATGAGCCTGCGACGAGTTGGCACCAGTTTGGATATATTGCGGCAGAATCGGCGCGTCGGCGGGTGTGGGAGTGGCCTGCCGCGTCATTGGCTGGGGCCCAGCAGTGATGTGAACGCAGACTCAGCGAATCGAAAGGACCGCTGCAAGACAGGCAAGTTGTACGCGATTTACGGCAAGCTCGACCAACAGGACGATCGCAGAGCGAACCAAGGCGGAGCAGCGAATCAGAGACGGGCGCTCCGTCCGCTTGCTCATTGGTCCATAAACTCCCTCGCATTGATCCGGAAGAAAGTATCCGGTCCCATCGCTCTGCCAGGCTCGGGATTCTACCTAAAAAGGTGTGGGTTCTGATGGCGTCTGCGGCATGTGCGGCAGCCGTCGCGGAGCTTCTCTTCCACCAGCGCAGGATCGCTCGTACGTGTCCGGCAGTGAACAAGCCGCCATTCCGACATGCTCATTCCGTCTTGTATTATGTTTCTCCGTCGCGACACGGCCGCCGCCACAACTTGTGGGTCGCCATCTCACAGCAAAGCGCGGGTATATATTGGATCCGCGGACCTGCGAATGTGTCTCAGGACTTTTCTGACGATGGTGCTATGCCCGCAAGAGAGGTTGGGATCTGCTTCTTATGTCCTTATTGCGGTACGTGGTTTAGCTTGTAGACGTCATAGAAGACTCTCATCTCATGGCCGCTCTTTCATCCGTTCCGAGGGTCCGTTTTTCTAGGCCCGTCGCGTGGAGGCTTCTCGAGTGGAGACAAAGCGTTGATGCAACAGCGCATCAACTCGACAATCTACTGCTTTGCCTTCAAAACATTTACGTTATGTTTTGCAATCTATCGAACGTTGGCAGCCTTGCGAGAAAAGAATTCGCTATGAAGGGTTCGTGTTTAGAAGACGACCGCGTGTGGGACTTTTTGGACTTGATATGAGCGTGATGTTGACTTCCGACCTTCGAAAAGATAGATGACCCTGTAGAGGTCGAGATTTTGCAAATTCCTGGTAGCATGCACGATAATAGAGTTATATTCGCGTACCCTGCAAAAGCAACTAATTTGGCTTGAGAACTCGCGAATGTGCTGCTCTGGAAGACATGTGATCTGGCCGAGACCTGAGATGGCAGTGGGGATAGCCTTGCGCCTGCAGATGATGACGTCGGCAGGGTTCTTCTGGGCGGAGGCGTTGAGCGAAGGAGCCAGCGGCCGCGAGAGCCAATCAGCGCGGGGCGCATCGGGACGAATCGCGATCTGATGGCGTCGGTGTGGCGTCGGTCCGCCAGGGAGTAAACGAATCTGAGGACGGGATCTGTTTTCCTCTTCCGTAACCGCGGATCGCCTCTGGCGCTTGTCAACTTTTCGAGCCCAACCACGACGGAGGCAAATCCCGAGGAACGGCGACTCGCGCTACTCTCTGGGGCTCGGCCGTGGCACTGCAGCAGGAATACAAGGGCTTGTGCACCGCGACCCCTTGTGCGAGGCGCACCCGCGGCCACCCCAGCTGCAGCCGGACCGGGCGTGCTGTGTGCTCCTGCGCGGAGAAACCGTGGGTGACAGCGATAGCGGCCTGCTAGGCGAGCATCGAGTCCATCACGAGCGATCTCGCTCCTGTCCCGTTCGATAAATGGCCGACTCGCGCGCACGTCTTGCGTCGCGCAAAGTCGCCGGCAGGCCCGTCAGGGTTGGTGCGTCAGTCCGAATCGCCAGGACTTGCACACTCTATCTGTGCGGGAAATTTTCTCCGCCTGTCCCACGTTGGCGCGCGCGCAGCGTTCAGAAGGCCGCTGTTCATGCGGGCAAGCATTGCATGAATCGTGGTCCGAACACAGCCATCAGCAGGTTGTTGTTCGTTGTGGACAAGATGCTAGCGTGTGAAGGGTTGGGAGGTGCGATGCTATCGCGATGCGATGTCTGAGAAAAGGCATCGCTTCCTGTGCGCTGGCTCTGCGTTCAGAGGCTGTTTGGCCTCGTCAAATGCCTTCCCCCAATCAAACTCTATTCTGCCATTCCCACTTCACTTTCGAGGGCTTCTTTCAATTAAAGCTCGATATTTTCTCGTCGGAATCCAGACTTCCCGTTAGACGCTGATCTCCACCGTGCCGTCCACCATATATGTCTAGTGCTGTATATAACACGCTCGCCCAGCTCTCCCTCCCTCATCCCACCCGCCCCGTCCCGCCCCGTCCCCTCCTCCGCCCGGCAGCCGTCGCTCGTTTGCTGCTCATCTTGCGCACTCGCAGAATAGTCTCGCTCACCATGTCCCCCCGCCAGTTTCACCACAAAGAACACGTCCAGGTTTCCTCCATGGATGATTTCTCCTCCACATATTCCCCCAGCTTCTCGAGGGGCACAAATGACGCGGTGCAATCCATTGTCACGAGCAGAAAGTGCTGGAAGACCATCAAGGGCAAAGGCGAAGTTGTCTGGCCTCCGCAACTCGAAGCGGCGCTCGTTGAAGGTGAGTGTCAGCAAATACTACCATCATATAATCATCAAAGTCGTGACCGCGTCTTATTCTGTTCTTTCCCTAGGTCTCGAACGATATCGCCCAGTCGAAACACGCTCTGCACGCGCACTGGGCCGATTCCCGATGCGCAACAAGTTCATCTCGGATTATATCTACCAAGTGACAGGCAAGCACCGCACGCCCAAACAGGTCGGCAGCCGCCTGCAGCAGCTCCGAGATACTTGCGAGGGGAAACGAAGTGAGTGTTACGCGTTTTGTTCTGCCTTGGCTTCCTGCTAAGACGCCACGGGCACCAGTCCTCAAGCTTCTGTCGCATCGCCCGGGCTCACCTCGCTCGCCGAGCGTTGAACATTCCACTGCTTCCCCCGAGCCCTCAACCCCTTCAGCGCCGCCGCGCGATTATCTCAATGTCGATGTCCTTCCCGCCGACATTTCCTGGCCGTCTGCCAGTGCTTCTGAAGCCTACCCCTCCTCCCGTCCCGTTCGCGCCATCAGCAATACCGTGACATTCCGCTCATCGACTGCTGTCCATGGCGAGTCTCGCAGCCATGTTTTGAAGGACGGCGTCGTCGTGCACAGTGAGACGACTGAGCTTCAGATGCAGTCGTCGTCGTGCATGCCTGCTCCCTACTCATCGGATATGGAGTGCGTTTTCCTGTACACCACCAAGCTTGTACCCCATTACTGGCCCACTCTCTGCAATGCGACAAGTAGGTACAACGGTCCAGCTCAAGTGACGAGGAGCTAACTCGACTTTTGCTCTAGATATCGGCTCGTACAGCATCTCCCAAGATATTGTAGCCCGGACCTCGTCATCTCAGGGATCTGAAGCAGAGTCGTCCCAAGCACCTAGCGAGAGGGTTCTGTCCTCGGTAGTCTACCAGTTCAACGTCCCCCAATGCTCCCCGCCGTCGTCTCCGACGTCTTCGAACGGGGACGCGTACAGCTACACAACCGAGTCAAGCGTACGTCTTGTTCAAGGTAGCATATATGCGCCTTTATCTTACCTATACTACTCTAGGTCGGCCACAGCCGCGAGCTAGAGCGGATATTTGGCGATGCTATGTCGACGGTACCCACGCCGATGGCGACGCACACCAGTTCTCCGCACTACCAGCAGCGCTACCAGCTGCACCCCGCAACATCGCAATCTTTCGACATGTCTCCTCCTGGTCTCATTCGTGACGAGGAGGGCTACCAGAGCCTGCCGCAGAGCCCGCTCGACGCCGTCTTCCCAAACACCATAGCGCTTAGCGCAGGGTTGGCCACAGGTGCGGACCCATTAGGCGGTTTGGCCAAGACGTATGTCGATGTCGACTACACAGGCCAATTCGACAGCAGCGCCGTCTCTGCAGGCCTCGCCCCAACGGGCGCAAGATACGGCCAGAGCCTCGCTCACCCGAGCCAGCCAGGGTACAGCGTGAGTACATTCTCCCCTGGGCCCGCTGCCCTGCCGGAACGTCCCGTGTCGGCTGACCACCGTCTTCGTTCGGCAGCCCTTCTAGTCTGATTCGCGCCCTCTCACGCAAACTTAATCGCTTGTCGCCCGCGCATACAGTCGGTGACACCTGCCGTGCCTAGGGTCTCTGGCTGTGCCCTGCCCCAGTGCGGCTGCGCAAGCTCGTTCGTGACCGGGGTCACGGTCACGCTGGGACTTTATCTCGCATCCAGCCATTGGCACCGCCGGCTCGCTCATCTGCAGAAGAGGAACTCTTTGTGCGTGCGCATTCATCTCCGAGGTTGCTTCCTGTTCGCAATCCGCCTTCTCTCGCATGCTTTTGACCATTTGTCCATCAAGTCGTGTACATGCTTTCCATTGTTGTGATTCTAGCTTGCTCTCATCAGTTCATGCTGCTTCTTCTGCTGTATGTTTTACCCACCGATTAGTCACATCTATTTACCAATATGTCCCCTTCATACATACATCACTTCATTTCTCACCATGGACTTCCTCTCGTATGTGTGTATGTATAATATCATCCTTATTCACATCATCACTGTCTGCCATCCCTTCTGCTCCATTCGTATACCCATCGTTCATAGGATCTGTACATACTATAGCCAAGCAAATCTCGTAATCGTACATTACACTGCGTGTCCAATGCTCCCTGTGCGCGAGTTTGTTATCAAGACGACTGAATGCAGAGCGTCACGAATCTTGCGAGGCTCCACCGAGGGCGTTTTGGCGATGGCCCAGCCCACATGATTTGATGAGTTTCCTTGCCGTGTCTGAAGGGGGAGCACACACGCGGATCACGGCTTTATACGATTATCTTGCTCCAGCACTAAACCACCACTAAATGTGCGGGGTGTGCCACAGGGCTAGCCGTTTTCGGGACGGACACACAGAGATGTACACCGATCTGACAGCTATTACGAGCATACGAAGTCAGTTTTACGGGATAAGGTGCGCACGGGGCCCAGCGAGCCTTTTGTGGAGATACACGGCCTTGCCGTCGCAGATGGCTGCTTTCCGATGGGGCTTCGCGAAACCCGTGCGGCAGCTCGCGCAACTCGTCCCGGAGGGCCAGCCCAACGTAACGGGCTGCAGCCTCGCGCGCGTGCCTATGGTTTATTCTGCATTCGGCTGCTGCTTGTTGTGTGCTCGAGCGCACATCTCACGCCTCGGGTAAAGGATACCGGGACTGAGGGGGAGGAGCAGAAGCCGTGAAGCCAGGAGAACCACGGCTCAATTCGCGCGCCGCGTGCAGGCGCGTACTGGAGCGTGGAGGGCAGGGTGCGTGTGCTGGGACCCAACTAGGGTCCTCCCCGAGGCGAGGCGCAACCCCCCTCGCGCGGGAGCACGTCCCACGGCACATCCTGCCGCGTTTGGGCGAGTGCAGCTCGCGGCGACGAGCATCGGAGAAACACAATCAGCCTCCTAGGATGTGCACTGCGGGCGAGGCCTGAAGGGCATGAGGAAGCGCAAGATGAGCGACCGTAACGCCCCCGGCGGCCCCAGAAGCCGCGGATGCTATCACGAGGCGTGCTGCGGCCCCGCGTCCGCCCTCGGCAGAATCGGATCGTGCGACATGTTGAGGCCATGCCTGTGCGGTATGTTCTCCATGCACGAGGACAATAGCAAACAAAGAACAAGAGAACGCAGGTGAAAGCCAGGTATGCGGTGATATTGGAGACAGAGTCCCACAGAATGCCAGATGAGGCGCCACAGATGGCTCCGCTAGTGTCCTCGCCATCAGTTGATCCTCAAGGCTAGTGCAGACTAGCCTCGAGGAATCAAGGAAATCGTCACTGACGAACACTGCGAGGGGGGATATAGGCAGGGATACGTGCGAGATAATGCGGGGAAATGGAGTTAATTATCGATGATGACATACCTGAGCCTGTCAGATTTGGGGCCAAGCTGTCCAACAGGGGATAAGCCTCTGCAAACCCGAGAGTTCGCACAGGGAGGTAAGCTCGCGGGCGTACGTCAGACCCGCGGACGATGGCGAGGCAGCGGCATCTATTAGCGGCCCTAGACCGTACTAGACTAGCAAAATAAGCAAGTGTCACTGTAGAAATGAAACGACTGCTTACTTGGAACACGTAGCGGGTTCACAGTACCTTACAAGCGGTGACGCGGGCAAGTATTGAAGTGTATCTCAGCGCGAGTCGTGACATGCCACGATATCTATGACACAAAATGTCGAAAATATCATAGGAGCATGGAGAACATTGATACGAATAAGGACTAATTAAGAGAAGGCCTGGGAAGCGAGGAAGAGAAGTACAGGGCCAGGAATGGTTAAATGACTTGTCCTCCAGCGAGCATTTCCCAATATGTCAGGTGTAGTCGTCGACGCGTGCTCGGTACTTCCCGAGCGCGCACAATGCCCACTGCTCCCTTCAACGGCTCGAGAAACAAGCCAGCGCATGCTCGAAAAACAGCCGAGGGTCAAGCGGCCACAGGGAGGATGAGAAACGCGGGGGCTCAATGCCACATGCGTGGGAATCATTACCAAGCGCCAGAAGCTGCTGCCTTCGGAGCGCCCCGTCGGGCGTTCAATCCCGCCGTTCCGCTGCTGTGCACCGACGCCCGACGCTGTACGGCCTACTCAGCATTCCGACGGTGACCTTGTAGTCCGTTAGGTAGCCCGCGTCGATCGCAACTCACACGCCTGTGGCGGTGGCATGACGATCCTGTGCAGACTGTACATTTGCATAATAAAAAGTCGCCCCCGCTGGCAGCCGACGGTCCCTTGTAAACCAGACGCGTTGCGGCGGTACAGGACTGGTAGAAAATTGTACAAAAATGCGCGGGGCCCCGTTCAAATCGTGGGACGTGCGTGGGGGAGGTGTGGACGCTCCATAGGTGTTTTATTGTGTGTGGGGTGGCGAAGCGTAAGAAGACCCGGAGAAATCGAACCTACGAAGAGGAGTGGCACGCATGCTGTGAGCCCTGTCTCAGCTATGAGACAAATATGCTTATTTTTACATTACCTGCTGTCTTGCAGCCGCACGACGCGTCCGTCTTACTCAGCCATGTAGCTCCTTCAGGCTGACAGGACAAGCACATTTCGGCGTCGGCACAGCAAGGTTCATTCATCTTGGGGTAGCGATGCAACGGAATTCCCGCAGGAGCATGTTGATCGTTATGCCGGTGGGCTGTGACCTAAATTTTCTGGAGATCACCGTCTAGAGTTTCTGTTACAAAGTCAACACTTCACGTAATTCACACATAACCCCCACATCTCATTTCTCACCTGCTTGGCTGACAGATACATCTCAACGTGTGTTCATTCTGAAACTTTTGCCAGAATGATTGATTCCTGTCAGCTGGGTCTCCAGATGCGGCCCTCGATTCTGTGATTCGGGGGCCAAAGTGAGACGGACGACCCTTGGCCACCAATAGCCAGAGTTTCAGGTGGACATGTGCAGGGTTTGATCATGCCAGCCCAACAAGGCTTAGTAGGAAATGGTTCTATTGTTGAGCGCGATGTGACCAGGGCAGGCCAGATTCTGTACATGCGAGATTAGTCACAGGTGACAAGGAACGTGGCGCCGAATCTGAGTAGCCACGCACTCCCAGCTCACCTTGGGAAACGCAGCACAGCGAGCACGAAGGCGCACCCCGCCTCTCAAGTCAACATCTTAGGCAGCGGCGGCGGCGATGACAGCACCATTGTACGCCAGCAGTCGGAAGATCCCGGCGCCAAGCCGGTGCTCTTCGACAGCCGGTATTTAACTAGAGCCAGCCACGACTCAGAACCCCCCGTATGACCGCGAGTGCGTTACTTGAAGAGAAATTGACCACATAATTCCAAGATATCGCAGGTAAAAGATGTATGGACGACAGAACAGTCCCACTGACCTCTGCTATGCCCACAGACGAATTGGACTCGGGAGGAACCGTGGTTTAGTCGACCTCCGCAAGCTCAGGCTCTTGCCACGTATGCCTCGCTCATTGGCGCAACAAGCCAGTTGAGGGTCTCGAATAGCGGGATTATGGGCGTGGTCGCGGAGAGATAAGGAAACCAGGACCAGAGGAGTTGCACAAGTGGTAAGTGCCCCGCCGCCCATAGGACGGACGTCCTCAGCCCTCATCCTTAAAGCGTCTGTCAACGAAACCACACGGACTGTCCAACGAGAACACATACCTATACTCGACGTGCACGTTCAAGTCAGGTGAATATTTCCCGCAAAATCTCCTTAAGCGCCCAAACTCGCGGGAATCGATTCCACCCTGAAGTTGGACTTTGTGGGTCCCTCTGTGCTCTTCGCAAATTGAGTCTCTTACACATCTCATTTCAGTCTATTTCTGCAGAATTTTGTGGGAAATTGCAAGCAGTGTGTCCCTGCTACGCCTCTATGCTCGCCAGCGCGTCCCGGATCGGGCGAGCAGCGGCGGGTAGGCCGCCTCACAGACCTGACGTCTAGTTTCTTTAATCTATCCATAGACGTACATCGAACACCATCGTGGCGGTCCGCAGCGGAGGCCTTGCGCTTCTGCTCAGGGTTTGCGGCATGCAAATGAATAGTGGAATTCTACCGAGAAGACCCTCGAGAGCTGTGAGAGCACGAGCCAATGGACGGTGGGTGAATCTCGGCGGCTTTCATATAAGTATCTGATCATGAGTCTGGAACGCTTCCGTCAGAAAGGCAGGCCGTGGAGTAGAGGAGGGCGAGTGCGCACCTGCCATCAGCTCCCGTGTCGTACAAGCTTAATTGCGTAGTACAGCGGCCTTATTTCCCTCGCTCGCATCGGCCCAAAGGCGGACTGTCTATCTCTCTTTTCCCATGGGCTCCGGTTGAGCATCCGACTGAACCTTGCCATATCGTGCTACGTGCGTCCAATATGCCTCTCTTAGGTTCACTTCAGAAGCTCCTGAATGGCGGGTTAGGTCATTGCCCGGATAATGAAGCCGTTCGCATGAGATAGTGTGTCCCGTGCCTCGCAGTGCCGTTTCGTACGCGAGAGCTCAGATAAATGCAGGCCTCGCGAGCCTCCGTGGTGGGGTCCAGAAGAGCATGCCGTACGCGGTGCTTACTCTCTCCTGCCTGGATGCATGGTGTTTGCGCGCCTATATGCAACGCCGGAAAAGGGAGATCAATTCCACGCTTGCCGACGCTTTGTGGCGTTCGCCGCCTGATCCGATTGGCCAAGATTTTATTTCGCCGATGCGTTTTTCTTCATGACATCGGCCGTGACTAGTTGACTAGTGGCTATCGACCTTCCTGCCAGATAAGCTCTGCGCATACTAGAGAATATTTTGAACTCATGCACTTGAATGAAAAATATACAAGCAAACGGCCGTGTTATACGGACGCATCATCTGCCAAAGAATGCTCTGTGCAGCTTCTGACTCTCGCGCCATACCCAGGAGAGACTGTCTTCCTGCGGCTCTCCCCCCTTCACATTCACTCTAGAGCAAAGCTGAAAGAAACATGATGAGATTATGTCAAGGACAAAGGAAGTGGCAGGCCATTGTACTAGGGGCCCGAGTGTAAGCCTAGTGATGATTTCGTGGGCCTCATCTTGAGTGAGCGTTGCCAGGTGTGTTTCATCATTGTCCTCACTAGCTTCTCTCAGAATCAAAGCAACATGTTCTTTCTCTGCTGAACAGCAAGGTTCATGTCTCCATATCGCAGCTTGGAACAACCTGTGTGAGTGATAAGAACTAATAAACCAAGGTGCAATTGCGACCATCATTACGTACAGTGTTAACCTCTTTTCTCAACCTATCGAGGATTTGAGGAAGATATCAGATCTTTGGATGGTCTCCTCTAATGTATCTGCTTCGAAGAGCAGTGCCAGTTGCATAGTCTTCTCCTTTAAGTAATCTGTTCCCCATACTTGGAACTTCGCATTGGAGGCTAAGCGGTGTCAGACAGCTGCGCATACTACAAATAGAGCTGACTTAAGATTACCTTTGCTGGACCAAACTGCTTGTGTATAGATGTATCTCCACTCCATGCAATCCAAGACATAATGGTCATCACCGCAATCGACCTATGCCAGAGGACTATATTAGTGCACTGCAGATACCGTCTTTGCAAACGAGACTATATCATCATACTCAACGAAGTACAGATATAATGTTCCTCAGAATGAGAAAGAACTGTTGTGGTCGCGCTTGTCAAATCCACCTGCCTTCCCTTAGGTTAGCAAAACATTAACAATTAAATACACTTACAGGGCTTACTTTATGCGCCAATGGCCTCTGGAGGTTTGAGTCTGGCTTGGTCGCTTGCTTCTTTAGTTCTTTGGTGGATCTATCTAGAATAGTTTCTACTTTGAATGTAGAGCATAAAGGTACCAAGGCGAACCCACCTTCAATGTTGTCTGGCGGGTCCATCCCAAAAAGACTGGCTACTGACACAACTCTCCACGTGTGTTTCACATTGTCAGCAAAGTCAATAACATGACAATCCTTCTTGCTACTCTCTGGAGACAGCCTGCATCCATGCCTGATCTACGACATGGTGGATGAGCGAGGTAACTTAGGAAAAATTGACAATATGAAGCACACCATCTGCCTGAACAGAGTATGGGACCGGATTGGCCTCGCAAGCAGAATACAGTCAATGTTGGGCACATTGGTGCCCTCTGTAAGAACCACTACTACTGTGTGAGTAGGAACAGGTGTATGCAGGATGCGGTAAACCTTACAGACGTTGGGTGGCACTGGAATTTGGCTGTTCAAAAATGTGTCAATTGTTATTCAATGTGTTTCTAGCGGCATACAACTATGCACACAATGTGCTTCAATTCCAGAGGCACAAAATGCACCGGTTAGTGCCTCAAGATGCCCAATGTCAACACAGAACACCAGAGTTGATTTCCTAGTTGCTAATATCTCTTGTGAGATGGAGGGGGAATCGAGAATATAACAGCATGCCTGCTCTCTGAATCCAAGTTTCTACAACCAGCTGAATTAGCTCTGGTGTTTTCATGACTTTGGCAAGACTCGCATTGATGAAGTCGCTGGTTTGTTTGCTGACACGAACAGTGTCCAGGTTCATGCTGCCTTGAGTTACCGTGAAGCACATGCGAGACAACCTGGGGAGGTATTAGTACAAAGATGCACAATATTCAGCTAGTACTGCACCATTGATCCTCAATCATGTCCAAAAAATCCACATGATACACAATACACTCAAATACCGAATTGAGACCTACTCCATCAAGCCGCGACCATGTTGCAGAAAAGCCAATTACCGGAATGGGAGTGCAGCACAGCGTCAACATTCCGTCGCCAACAGTGCCGATGTCTGGACAGAACCATGACAAGATTCCACAATATTTAGCTTGGTGTTTAGGAAGGAGGCAGAAAAAGTGCAAGAAGGACAGCAAAGCTTACGAGGGTGCAGCTGCATGATGGCCCTCATCTACTACAACTGCCTTGAATGTGAGTGGATTGTATGCTGAGAGCCGTTTTTGCTTCATTAATGTTTGGAACGTTGCTACTGTACTGGAATGATCACCTTGTCAGCAAGTGATCCTGAGGATATAGTCAACAGTGCGCACAGATCTGCGTCAACAGACGCCTTTTTGGGACCTTGGTTGATTGTGACAGTCCAATGTGGGAAAAGTCTCTGAGCTTGTTGTGCCGTCTGACGAGCAAGCTCAATGCCATTAACAATACCTAGGCTGCATGTTGCAAGTGGCTTAGAGGCAGAAGCACTAATGCGCAAGAGCAGCATTAGAAAGACAGCTGTTTTGCCGGTGCCAGTAGGCAATGAGACTGCAATGCATGTCTTCCTGGATGCAAGCACATCTATGCATGCTTGGACCACCTCCTTTTAGTAGGGTCTCAACTTGAGAGGAGATGTCCTGGTGCTGAACCTGCGGACAAGGACTGATCGACTTAGGAGATATCTCATTCGAGCATACACAATGTCAGATGCAATGTCGCAAGATCAAGCACTAGCATACAACCAGATGGCTAGCGCGAGGTGAGACTTTTGTCTTCTCCTGGGGAGAACTTGTCCAGGTTTTCGAATACCCTACTACATGTCCTATATACAGCCAAGTAAAAGGTACAGGGGGAAAGAAAAGAAAAACCCAAGAAACTGATAAGTGTGCAGCATCCACGTGCAAAAGGGGCAGCAGGTGTTTTGATACAGCAAAGGCAATGGCAGCTCGACAGCATGAACTAATGGTGAGACCCTTGTGGCATAGTTACTGTGGTGTCAGGTGCCTGGTGCGAGCAGTTGTGCGAAAAGGCGCTTATAGCAAGAGCAGGGCGCATCACCAGGTTCATGGCAGGGTGTGGTACGCAAGAATAACATTACAAAGACACCTATCTTTCTGGTGCTGGCAGGCAAAGAGACAGCAGTGCGTACCTCTCCAGGTGCAAGCACATTTGTACATGCGCAGGACGCCTCTTCCTAATAGAAGTCACGACATAAGAGCAGGCTTTCTGGTGAGCCTTCAGACAAGCACTAGTCGACCTAGAACAAGCTTCATCTGAGCGGACGCAAAGTGAGATGGAGTTTAGATGTGATTCTCTCCAAACCTCAAATGACTGATAAGTCCAAAAGGGTAGTGTGATGCACCAACTCCAGATGTGCGCCCTCAAATTTATATCTTCGCTTCAGTATCATATAAACAAGTAGAGAGATGTTAATTGCCTGTCAAAGCAAGATTAACTAGAGCACAGACTATGTTAGGAAAAGTTTTGACTAACCTAGAATCCTTAGCTCGAAGCTGCTCCTTCCAATAGCTGCACGCTGTGTACAGCATCTTGTTCAACACATCATGGTCAGGCCATCCAGCACACTCTTGCTCAAGTAGCAAGGCACATGCAAGCCCGGTCTGCGTGGAGGGCCCTTCCAGTGGGCGATTGGACTTGCGATCTTCCAGCCGGATGAGAGGCTCGCCGCGCACTATGTGAGATAACTATGTCTTACCACCAACCCAGCATCCATGCTCGCCGATTTCTTCTTTGTAGAAGAGCTTGTTTGTGAGATTGGTCAACTTGGCAGGTGTCTTGGACAGGTTGTGCTTGTAAAGGTGCATAGCAATGTAGACAATGAGCCAGATGAAGGTTTCAATGTTGTCTCCAACCTCGACAGGCTTCTCTGGGTACCACAGCACAAGGGTAGATATGTACGCCCACATACTTTGTATGTGTAGCGATCAGCAGTCATCAATATCTCACAGAGGCAGCACACGTACAGAGAGGGTGTGTCATTCATGTTTGCATTTGATGTAGTCCCGGAACATGGCAATGTCCCAGTCATTCAGAAATGCGTTTGTCGTTCTTGACATATATTCAGATGTTGCTGTCAGTGACGCTGTAGTGAAGAATGCCGGCATACTTCCATGCACATTTGTGTGCTTCATAGATGTTATTCAGGTCTTTGCTTAGTAAACAGAAAAACAAGCTCACCGTATCGAGCGTAGCAGCTCTGAACCAGACATGGACCTCCCCAGCGGATGTCCCACATTGCTAATGACCAAGCGTGTTTGGACCCGAGCTACTGCCTTGTCACTGAAGGGAAGCCCGTGCGTGAGATGCTGCAACTGCGTCCGGTGGTGTTCAATAATGCCGCTGGCCAGCTTGACTTGGTATTTGAAGCCTTGGTCCAAAGATGGAAGGTAAGCCAGCCGAAACATGACATTCTACAGTTTGTAGCAATCGCAAGTCGTGTCGATAGACTCAGACACAACACAACTGGCCTGGACACAACGAGATAAGTGAGTTGCAAGCCAAGAGATGTAGAGCATGGAGATGTGTGTGCGGTGCTGATGCAGAGGAATCTCAAAGGTGCGCTCTTCGAGCTGTCACCATGTTTGACGTCCAAAAGCTATGTCTATGAGAAACATCAGTTCTTTGTTATGTGTCTTCTTGCCGCAGTTCTCAGGGGGAAAGATGGAATGCCGCCGTGGGCTCATCTATGACTACCTCGACCGGGGAGATCATCCACACCCAGTAGTTCTTCGCTGTTACTGTCTTCAGCTTTGTGAACAATGTAGCAGCTGGGCCAAAGGGTTCACATTGGGTGCCTCTGGAATGACTTTGAAATGATGTGGAGAACTGTTCAGGACTGTATTGAGCGCATCACACTACAAAGTATAGTCAGATGCTGAGGCAGGCGGCTCTTAGTGACAGAAATGAACCAGAACTTTGGGCTTATTGTAGTACATATGGCAACGTCGCTTATTCAGGGTACAAGGCACACAATGTCACGAGGGTGTTTGAGCAGGAGGGACAGGTGACAAATTGGCTTGAAAGGGTGTAATAATGTAGTGGTGACTGAACGAGACGCATTCAAGTCTTTGACGTGGTGAGTTGGTGATCTGTCTACCAGGGTCAGCGAGTCATCCAGCGGAGTCAAATACAATGGTTGATAACCAAAGGCGGATGTACAATTTTTACAGAGTCAATGTAGCGAGTACAGCAAGTAGCGTGCAAGAGCCCATGCAAGTTCAAGTGAAGTCCCTCCCTTTAGTAGACGCGCAGCTAATAACCAACCACGCGTGCCAGCGCTACTTCTTATCGCATACCGCAAGAGCGCAAGCCGAGCCTGGAAATGAGTAGCGCATGATCCTATAGCTGAAATAGCTCTCTCAGAACTTTGTCAGATGCAAGAATGATGCAGGACTCAACAAGGGCTGAGCTAACGGCAGACAGTGAGTGCCACAGCGCTGAGCATATCATCCCAGTAGCCACTGGCATGCAGGGAGAACTGGGGAAAGCTGAAGATGGCCATGCAAAAGTGGTTCTCAAACAGCCAGCCGAAAGCCCTGATATACACTTGATATATACATCACAGGTAATCCTGCTGCTTCAGGTGATGCAGAGCGTGAAACTAGGGATCTTCTATCCAAGCTTCCTCAAAGAGCTACCAAGGTTGGAGCTGAACTAGCCGAGTCGAAGTAGATGTAACATGTCACGGGCGGGAGAAAGAGTAGATTTGTTGGTCAGGTCTCAATTATCAGCCCGAACACCATTGGCGGTGGCCTTCAGAGCATCCTACATCAGACGGTGAAACTCCTCAACATCTACCTGGGATTCTACAGCAGAGTTGCCCTTGGACGAAAGGATATCCAGGACTTTAGCAAGGTTGGTTTCTTAGATGACCGACAAAGTAACATTCTAGCAGGAAACGGCAGTAGGAGGAGCCATTCGGTGCGTACCGCGTGAAGAAATGATGTGAAAGCTAAAGCAAGCTTGGCATCGTGCCCACTTGGCGATATGGGCCTTCGTTATGTTATCGCTTGTGCAAGCGCATCGCCTAGCTGTCGCTACGCAGCATCGTTTTGTTGGGATGAGCCGACGACGGATTGGAGTACCACAACTCGAGCCATGCTCATGCACGAGGCAACTCAAGTCGAGGGCTGGTCGCTACGAAACAGAAGTCAGTTAAGATATGTACTTACTGATACTCACCCCGAGTTTTGTTCTCTGCCGTCTGTGGCGTGCAGGGATGAATATAGCGGTCTCTGGACTTTGGTCGTGGGCAAATGAACTCGGCGATTGCCGAATACTATCGAGACAACCCAGTAAGGAAGGTTCCGCCATAGACTTAATTCTACGCGTCTAAATCACTGGAAATTATCGGCAACATACTTACCCAAGAAGTTTTAGAATCCGCTTGCTGTATTTCTCTCGTATCCTGAGACTGCCCATCGGGGAACTTATAGCAGTAACCTCACCCAGCGCGGCACTGTACCTGATCTTCCCCGTGAAATTTTTTCCACGAATCCCCCCATAGCAATCGTGTGCTCAATGATAAAGTCAGGCATATCTTTCTAAGGTGCGTGATTTGCCACTGTGTACAGCCTCAGCTCATCTTCCAGATTTACGTCGGCGAAAGCAATCTGCGATAGCACACTGACATTGTACATGCGTAACCCCATCAAAGTATTATATCTTTTCCTACAATGCACAACCATTTGTGGCCTGGTGTCCATGTGCTGGCGTTTATCTACTCTGCAGGTCGTGCCTGCCGGATAATGACTGGCCCTGTACTCTAGGCGTGTGACGCTGCCGTCATCGGAACTGCATCAGCCCCAAGATGGATGGTCCATGAATGGAAAAGAAGCTCGCTACAATAGCAGGACCTCCTTCATGCTCGCGGTATAAAACGTACATCTTACGGCCATCCCCCATCGCAATCCAGTCCGGACCTCCCTGCTAAGCCGGTTGCTGGACGATGCCCACTATGGCACTTGAATCGCGGTTTGCACTTCTATGCTCTGCGCGATAGCTATAGACTGAGCCATGTACACTTTGCCAGTTTCACCTCACTTGCTGCCGCGGGTCAGCTTGACCCCGGAGCGGCGGCACATGAGCAGAACAAGACTCACCTTCAAGACGACGATAGTTCTACGGTACGACGTCCCAAGTGCTAGACAGTCTCATGTACCGATCTTCGTTCTACCTTTCAGCTCTTCCTATCCCGCCATGCTGTGTCGGAGTTCCTACGAAGGACAGGCCTGCCTGTACCTGCTGTGAACATCGTCTCCGATAGCGCTGTCGCCGGGCGCATTCGCACTACCATCGTCAACTGGGACTTCGGTGGTATCTCTACGGATCGTATCCTTCACTACACCGTCGCAGGCATCAGTATGGCGACGACGACGTTCGGTCACAACCACCCCGACACCCAAGTGCACATCGCGCTCTTCACCATCCTGGCTCTGTGCGTCGACGACCTCGAGGTCAACTCGGCCGCGCTCGCTGAGTTTATCGACCGGTTCCAGACGGGCAGGATGCAGCTGCACTCTGTACTAGAGCTCCTCGCTGGCATGATCCGGCGCATGCCCGAGTTCTTCCACCCATACGCGGCGACAGCGATCCTGATCGGGGCCATGCATCACGTCAACTGCACGCTGTTTGAGAAGCAGATGGACAACGCACCACTGCATCCTGCGGCCTTGCAATACGTTTTGTACAAACGCGCGAGAAACGGTGCCGGCGAAGTCTACTCGGCGTTCGTCTGGGATAAATTCAACTTTCCGGACATATCGGCACATATCCAGGTCACTCCGTGCGTGCCTTCCGTTCTCGTGCTGCTATTTCACCCATGATTATTGACCGTGTAGGGAGACGATGATCTACCTGGATTACGCCAAGTCAGTCTATTGCTATACCCGCTGTACCCCTTATTCTAACCATGCACAGTGACATCTTGTCGTTCTACAAGGAAGAGATGGCCGGCGAGCGGCACAACTTCGTGTACGACCGTGCGCGTGTCACGGGCAAGGACGTCAAAACGGTGCTATCGGACATCCTGGATGAGGTCGTTGGTGCCATCGAACGCGCCAGGAAGATCCTGCAGGGTGAGAAGGAGCGGGAGACGTGGGAGAAGTTCCTAGCGGGCTACGTTGCGTATCACTTTCTCTCGCCGCGCTACAAGCTTGAGCAGCTCACCGGTGCCGCCGCAGCGTGAGCAGCTGCTGGTCATCTCGAAGTGCTGTCAACTCAATATTCATATATTTTCTGGCGGAAACTATTCCTGTGGAACCTAGATCTATATACTGTATAGAACATGCAGTCTACCGTTGATACGCCGTCGCTACTGGACGGTGATCTGACTCAGCGCCAGCAGGAGGGACAAACTCACACGACGCCTCGCAGCCGGCGGTGTTGGGTCTAGAGCTGTCAAAGCGCCATACACTCATCTCTAACCCTGCCATACAATACGCCATCGTGTAAATCAATGACACGCTATATCTGTTGAAATAATCCTCAGAAGATGAAAGGAAATATGCGCAGCGATCAATGAGTGGATTGCAGCGCCCGCAAGGGCGCAATCGTGTAATTGCATGCGGGTATAGGCACTACGTGCTGCCAGAAATTCGTGGGAAAATAGAGTCCGTACGCTTAATGTCCAAATTTAGTGCGCACAGCCACTTTGTGAGTTTATCTCTCCTACCGCGGAGTTACCTATTCCTGTCCAGTGTCCAATAACAACCTTCCAAAACACTGCTCAGAAACATAAAGACGGAGATCTTACTTGGCCCAGACGAGCTACAAAATTCCATCGCTATGCACAGCCATAGATGTACGTGGGTACGATCGTGACTGTTCCGCAGGGTATATAGATATTTTATTGTATTTACCAGAGAACTCGGGATGATCTATCGCACCATCATCGGCATATTCGACATCAGATAATCACACGCATACAACACGGCACGCTCCAATTCACATACTCCGTTCACGGAAAGAGTGAGGTGTGCGAGTCTAGCCGGATGTGCTGAACTGTTCCTCCAGTCTGTAGCGAGGAGTCATGAAGTGAAATACCACATATACCACCACATGGCTCTCCCATGCTTGCCTCTCCTTCTCGCCTTGTAAGATTTCTCTACCCCTATTGACGGCGTCCACGGCGCCTTCGAGTGTAGCCATCAGGGTCGCCTCGATATCCTTGCTAGTGACGCAAGCACGATCATGAATGGAGTTATTCTTTTCGTCGACAAGTTCTTCCTTGTAGAAGGAGCACAGATCACTGAAAAACTGGCGTCAGAAGATGCTGCTCCAGCAGACACTGAGAAGTGGACGTTACTTGACAAGGACGGAGATCGCAATCGCCTCACTAGATGGGCAGAGCTTAGCATGCTACTTCTCAAGAGGTTAACTGTATTTACGGCATCGATTGAATATAACTAGACACGTCGGGGAAGTGTGTCTTATTCCAGATGCAGTAGGAGTATCCCTCGCCGAGCCCGTTGCGAGCGCGCTTGTACAGCGGATACCCACGGGCTGAAGGATGTATATTCATAGCCTTTGTCTCCCTGTCGACCAATGCACAGGCGACAAATTGCACGGTACAGGTGGCGATGATAGCGGCGCCATAGGGGTGGAAGAATTATGCATCTGACGAATATTATCCGCGAGCAAGTCAAGCAACGGGTGAAGCTGCTCGCGTCCGACGTGGAATCGTTCGGCGAACTTGGCGAGTGCGTCTACGCCAGTGTCGAAACCTTCCACGCCAGCATCGAGATCGTCGATGCAGACGCATAGCGCAGTCCACAAGGCAATATGGACCTGTGTCTCGACGGGAGTGTGTCTGTACGCCGTCTTCGCGATATCAATCCCAGTGGTGAGGCAGTGTTCGAAGCGGTTGGGGGACACGCCGCCGAGATTCCATGTCTGGACTTCGGCGTGTGCGAGCCTGTCGATCTCGTCGCCGAAAGCCGATGAGTCAAATTCAGGCAGCGGGATGCCTGTTCGGTGCAAGAACTCTGTGATTGTCTTGCGACAGAGATCCGGCTTGTGAAAATAACACGTTAGATAATGATAGGATAGTGTGGACCATTTACACACCAGAGAATTCGCTTCGAGTGCTTTAGCTGGGAGTGGGAGGCCATTTGGAGACATAATGAGCCTTCTGCAAGAGCAAGCCAATAAGACCACTGGTGAGTCGAAAGATGGATGAAGAGCGCAAGCAACACCAACCGATATGCTGAACGACTGTGTGGGCGAATACTGGAGTGAGCAAGCTTTCGCTCGACCGGGAGAATGGATTATCAATGAAGGTGCCTGTTGCAGCCATGAATATACTCGTAGGCGTTATATAATGTTCGGCGAGCGTTCTGAGTTCCAAGACAAACAGCCATCTGCGGCACGCAATAAGGTTCTACGAAGGATTAGTGTCAATGTAGAGGGGCATTCATGCGCTCGCGCGCGCCGAGGCGTCAAGGCGCCAGCAGCTGGCGGAGTCATTCCGAATTCGCGTGAGAGCTTGCCGGAGCCCCGCTGATGGCCACCGAGCATCGGCCTGGGGCGGGGTCACGTGCATCTGGTGTCTTAGCAGGCCTCCTTTCCTTCACGTATCCACTCAAAAACTTAAATTAAATCCGAGCCATTCGATTACATGCTTTGCTATAAGCTAGTTCCAAATTTTGAGCTTTTTTGAGCCCTGTGGCTGGAGGCACGGCTCGCGACACAGCGCGGTCTGGCGTCTTCGGGGATGTGGCCGGACGCTTGGAGCGCTCGAACAGCGCCGGGTCAGTCTGTGTTCTCCCGACACGGATTCCCGCTTGTCGGAAAATTCGCTCAAAGTACTTCATGACTCGTGCAACGCCGAAAATGCTCGGATCCTTGTCGTAATTTGTGCTTGCGTAGACGGTGCACCTGGTGAATGTCAATACCTGCACCAGCCGCCTAAAATAGAAATCGATCTCGAGTCTCATCAGCACCGTCTGCGCCTTGTTCGTGCACCTGTCGGTTCGGATTCACCGCAACGAATGTGTGTGCTTTTTTGGCAGGTCGAGTACCCTCTTCCGTGTTAAATCGGCAGCGAGGCGCACAGCGACGAGATTTCTGGAGATCCGCCGACGGCCTGAGCTTTGCAGGTGCATGCGAAGGGTCTTCAAGCTTCAGGGTCTCAGGTTGTACTATGAACGAAGCTACAACTTCCCGGGCTTGTAGGCCGCACGACTGCAAGCGCTGCCCTCAGCGCTTGCAATCATGCCACCCCCGGTGCGTGTCGGTACTACTGATCTTCGTCTGGCGCTCGTTATCCCTTTTGGTGGAGAGTTGACGATGCGCGCGCACTCCATGCTCGTCGTGCTTCTCGGATAGGAAGATATACATCTTGAGAAGCGCGTGAAGTTTGCACGAGGGCTTTCTGGAAGGTCCAAAGTGGTGCAAACTCGAGGTCATCTGGAGAAACCTGATGACCATGATATGGAGAGGAAATTCAGCCTTGGGGAGTATCTGACAAGAAACAACTCAGTATCTTAGTCTTACTCTCGCCCTTTCGAGATCTATAGACTGGATTACTTTCTAGAGTGTTTTGTTTATGGTGTGAGACTACGCATCTGCGGGTATCGAGACCGTTCAGACATCTCAGGGTCCGAGTCAGTCTTATCCTATTTCACAGGGGCTGTTACGCGGAACGGCGCCGACGTTTTCGCCCGGCTCTATCGCAGCTGAAGGTTGACCCCGTTATACGGCCGTATCTGGGCTTATGCACAATTGATGCGCCGGCGATTTGTTCTGCTGACAAAAGTCACCGAAGTTTGAGCCCATGGACATAACAAATGCGTTGCATAACCCAATCGGACGCTTGAACAGCCTTGTAGAAGATCATATGAGTGATGCGTTCTTCACTCCAGCCATCATCGGCCTCGCTTAGAAGCAAAGCACCAAACTTCTTCTGTTCCAGACTGGCGGTTGTTGCTTCCACCATGCAGCCTTGAGTAAACTGTGAGAACAATAAGCCATGACGAGTCAAGGTGCTATTACAGCCGACGTTACGTACGGCAGCAGCCTCTTCTCTGCCTTTACACTTGCGTCAGACCGTTCGATAACCTCTTGCAGCGTCTTTTCTCCGAAAGGTAGCTTCTGCTGCATGCCCTTGCCCTGCGCACCGCATGTCGTCCACGCCTGAAGTCTCACTTCGGGGGCCGAACGCCGTCAGATGCACTAGTGTAAACAAACCAGCGCTGGTGCGAGTGACTTGTGCGTGAACGCATCCTAAGACCATGCACAGGGTGGTAAGCGCAGTTTTTTTCTTGAGAAAACTCAGGAAAAAGCAGCTAAACAAGGCCCCGTTATTCCTCGATTCTACGCCGATGCAAACTGAGGAGAAACTGGTGCAAAACCAGCCAAAATGGTCTAAAACACAGTAAAACTGGCGGAAAACTGAGTTTTGCCTTCGGTTTTTTTCAAGTGAAAACTGGAGAAAGTTGGGGCCTTGTTCAATCAGTTTTTGGCCAATTTTACGCCGGAAAAAAGCGCGCTTACCACCCAGTGTATGCGTTTCAAGACACGGAGGTCAGCTGCGATATGCAAATGCAGGAAGAGTTTCGTAACACCGTTTGAATCCCACTCTGCAGCGGGATTCAGACTCCGCTTACTTTGGAATCCTTGCTGCAATAGCTTACTTATCCTGGGAGCGAATGGTCTGTTCAAACTGCCAAATACAACAGATTTCCCCGGTGATCACCGAGACAGCCTTATAAGGAAGGTCCCGTCGTCCTTTGACCGGAACTGCCATGCCAGACTTCATTTTGCGCATCCGCACGATCCGCATCGCTGAAGACGGCTAGCAACATACTTGCCCAACAAATCTTAGAGACAGTTTATTATCTACTCGGACCGCCTGGCGGTGAGCTCGTAGTCGTTATCTCGCTCAGTGTGGTATTCCACCCGATCTACCCCGCAGGAATTTTTCATCGATTGATCCCACAGTAATCGCATACCTGATCGTAAAGCCAAGCGTATCTTTCTAAGGTACGTGTTATCCCGCGACTATGTACAGCCTCAACTTATATTTCCGATGTACGTCGGTGAAAGCAGTGTGCGATAGCGTTGCATATGTGCAACTCCCCTTAGGTTAACATGTCTTTTCCCACAATGTATAGCTATTTGCGACCTCGTGCCCGTCTGCTAGCATTTTTCCGCTCCGTTGGATATGCCCGCTGTACAGTGGTTGGCCCTATGCTCTATGGGCGCGATGCAGCTACCATTGAATCTGCATCGGCTCCAAGATGAATGGACCCTGAATGGAAAAGAAGCACGCCACAGCAGCTAGACCTCCGTGATTGTGTTATAAAGAGCAGATTTAAGGCTTCTTTACACTGCAGTCCAGTCCGAGCCTTCTTGCTATCACCGACACGCCAGCCGTTGGAAGATGACCATCGTGGCACTTGAAGCACGGTCTGCACTTCTATATCTTGCACCGTAGCTGTGTGCTGAGCTACTAACACCTTGGCAGTCCCACCTCGTTCGCTACAGCGGGTCAGTTCGACGCCAAAGCGATGACATATAAGCAGAACGAGGCTCAAGTTCAAGACCACGACGATTTCGTGGTACGACGTTCCAAGTCTTAGGCAACCTCATGTACTGATTCCCTTCTCACCTTCCAGCTCTCGGTGTCCCGCCATGCTGTGTCGGAGTTCCTACGAAGGACAGGCCTGTCTGTGCCCGTTGTGAACACCATCTCCGATAACACCGTCGCTACACGCGTTCGCACTACCATCGCGGACTGGGACTTCGGTGGCATCTCCACCGACCGTGTCCGCCGCCACACCGCCACAGGAATTGGCATGGCGACGACGACGTTTGGCCACAACCACCCCGACACCCAGGTGCACATCGCGCTCTTCACGACCCTGGGCCTGTGCGTCGACGACCTCGAGGTCGACTCGGCCGCACTCGCTGAGTTTGTCGATCGACTCCAGACGGGCAGGGCACAATTGCATCCTGTGCTCGAGCTGCTCGCCGACGCTGTGCGCCGGATGCCCGAGTTCTTCCACCCGTACGCGGCAACGGCAATCCTGATCGGGACCGTGCACCATATCAATTGCACGCTGTTCGAGAAGCAGACAGACAGTGCACCGCTCCATCCCGTGGCCTTGCCGTATGTCTTGTACAAACGCGCGAGAAACAGTGCCGGCGAGGTCTATTCGGCGTTTGTCTGGGACAAGTTCAACTTCCCAGACATATCGGCGCATATCCAGGTCACCCCGTACGTGCCTTCCGCTCTCATGTTACTATTTCCCCCATCCTCACCGATCGCGTAGGGAGACGATGACCTACCTGGATTATGCCAAGTCAGTGCATCACTGCTCCCGCTCTCCCGCTGCTGTCCTCGTGCTAATCATACTCCAGTGACATCCTGTCGTTCTACAAGGAAGAGATGGCCGGCGAGCGGCACAACTTCGTGCACGACCGTGCGCGTGTCACGGGCAAGGACGTCAATACAGTGCTGTCGGACATCTTGGACGAGGTAGTCGGTGCTGTCGAGCGCGCGAGGAAGATCCTGCAGGGTGAGAAGGAGCGGGAGACGTGGGAGAAGTTCCTGGCGGGCTACGTTGCGTATCACTTCCTCTCGTCGCGCTACAAGCTTGAGCAGCTCACCGGTGCCGCCGTGGCGTGAGCAGCTGCTAGTCATCTCGAAGTGCTGTCAGCTCGATATTCATAGATTTTCTGACGCGACCTCCTCTTGTGGCTCCCAGATCTGTATACTGTCTGGAATATGAACCCTGCCATGATACGCCGTCGCCGCCGGACGGCCGTCTGACCGGTAGGAGAGACAAGCTCAGACGACGTGCCTCGCAGCCAGTGTTGAGTCTAAAGCTGTCAAAGTGCCATATGCTTCTAACCCCATCACACGATACGCCATCGTATAAATTGATGTCACGCTATAACTGTCGAAATAACCCACAGAGGATGACAGCAAATGTGTGCAGCGATCAAGGAGTGGATTGCAGCACCCGCAGGGGTGCAATCACGTAATGAGCAAAGCATGCTCTGCTCCCAAGTACTGCAATTACTAGAGCTAGGCTTGCTCCCAACTTACAAACTCTTACAAACCATCGACGCGAGTATTGATGACTCTGAGGCGCACATGGAGTAGATAGAAGACGCCTTTAATAACCGTGAACAGGGCTTAGGTCTTCTTAAACTTGCCACCAAGTTGCTAGGCACCAATATTTGATTACCAAAAAAGTTATCACTCGAGCTTGGAGCGACGCAGCAAAAAGCTGCGGCCGATGAAGGCCTCCTCAGCCACGGCTCGTTCAGCTCATTCTGCCCAATAGGCAAACTGATTCTGGTTAGAACGACTCAAAAATATGTCAGCTGCGCGAGGAATTGCGGATGCTGGCACACCTCACTATTCATCCTTCCGGAATGAGGAGGTATAGGGAGACATCTTTTATTCTGCACACTTGACATCAAATCATTCGAGCCCAAAGCGCTACGCGAATTCCAGGAAACTTAATGTCTGGAGCCCGTCTAGAACAAAACTGGTACAACACGAGACAATCAGGGTAGGTACGGAAGAATGAAAAACATTTGAGAAATTTGTATAGATAGCTGCAACAGCAATATATGCTGCGGGCACAAGCTTACTCGGCGCCATTTAACAGCTCCTTCAGCTTGTACCGTGGCGAAATGAAGTGGAACGCCACATAGCCCAAAATGAAGCTCTCCCACGCCTGCCTTTCCTTCTCGTTCTGCAGGATCTGCCGAGCCCTATTCACGAGATTTATAGTGTCTTTCGTGATGTCCATCAGGGATGTCTTGATGTCCTTGCCCGTGACGCGAGCGTGATCGTGGACAAAGTTATTCTTCTCGCCGGCAACCGCTTCCTTATAAAACGAGAGGATATCGCTGTAAATAACCGTGTCAGAAAACGCTGCTCAGAAACAAAAAGAAGACAGATATCGTACTTGGCATAGAGGAGGTACGCAATCCCATCGCTATAGGCGCATCAGCGTCTCGTCAGTAGCTGTCGCTCATTTGAGAAATCACGGATACTCACGGGATCACCTGAATGTGCGTCGACACGTCCGGGAAGTTCACCTTGTCAAAGATGCAGTATGCAAACCCCTCACCGAGGCCATTCCTGGACCGCTTGTAAACCGGATAGTCGCGCGCCGCATGATGCAGCTCCATGCCCTCCGCCTCCTTATCGAACAGCACACAGACAACGAACTGGACCGTGGTCGTGACGATCGACGCCGCACCGTACGGATGGAAGAACTTCGGCATGTCGCGTAGGTTGCCCACGAGCACGTCGAGGAGCGGGTGCAGCTGCGCCTGACCCGCATGGAATCGCTCCGCAAATGCGGCGAGAGCGTCCTCATTGATCTCGAAATCGTCCACGCAGATGCAAAGTGTCGTCCAGAGCGCAATTTGCACCTGTGTCGAAACAGGTGTGTGGCCGTACGATGTCTTCGAGTTGTTGACCGCCGTTACGACATGGTGGTGCAGCCTTCGGGGAGACGCGTCACCGATCTCCCAAGTCGCGACTTCCTCGAACGTCAGACGGTCGACCTCGTCGCCGAATGCGGCACCGTCAAACGTGGGCTTGGCAATGCCGGTCTTGCTCAGGAACTCGGTGATCACGTCGCGGCAGAGATATGACTGGATGTAACGGAAAATTCAGCACTGGCACGCAGTATAAGACAAGCATAGGCGTACCAGAGATTCATCCCCGAATTTCTCGTCGTCGGAGTGTTCATCTGCGGGCGCACGCTTCAGTGCCTCGGCGTTGTCCTCAGTCGCGGGAGTACTACACGGCAAATGGTGAGCCATCGCAATCATCGGAAAGCCAGCACGACACACGGGTGGATCTGGGTGGCTGAAGACATTCTGTAGATGTTATGCTTGAGGTAGAAGACTGGGATTTCTTCTGGCGAGTCATCCTCGTCACCGCAGAGGTCTTTATACCTCGAAAGGCACCACTTCGGCATTCCCAAGCGGCTCTTGATACAAAGTATCTGGCATGCCCCACATAGCAGACCTTGAGTTCGCATTTTACTACCGGAGTACGTCCGTCATTAAGGTTGGCGAAGCAACTGGTGTGACGTCACAGCCGCATCCTTAGGCCAATCTGGTCAGATTGAACAGAGCAAATACGCAGCGAGATTCCGGCACGCTTGCCTGCGAGGCACTGCATACATCTAAGCTACGCTTGTGGCTGGAGCAGAATGAAGCTATACATCACTATTGCGGAGTCAAGATATAAGCGGACTGACCCAAGACTGCAGTGATACAGTTGACGTTGTTGAGCCCAGGATACACAAAAATGAGAAATCCGTATAAACTTTCTCTCTTCAGCACGCCTCTTCGCGACTGAACAGCAGCGTGCCCATAACCATTTTGAAGATATGATGTGTTGCTGAATGTACAAGAGAGAGGGGCTAGCAGAGAGAACTTAGAAGCTAGATGCCGGTGTTACGCGCCCAATGGTCACAATTCGCGCCGAGGCGCTAAGAATCAAGCGCCAGACCCTACCTTCCCACACCAAAGGATAACTTAACGAGAGCGACCATTTCGGGGAGCCGCAGTCACAACTACGCTCTATGATATGCGACATGGCCAATATGGAAAAATTATCCAAGGATGAGCCCGTAGCTATGCCGACTCGCTCCATGACAATACTCGACCTCGCTGCCATTGGGCCTGCCTCGGTCTGGAGGGACCTTGTGGAAGAGCAGCATGCCTAGAGAAGTAGCGCCTCCTTCATACTGTTTATTGTATGTAGAACTCACCCACATAGTTGTTTGCCACTGCACCTCGGTCCGCCTCTCGTACTCGCCCCATATTGCCAGTACTGATACGTCAGCCGCTGAACAGTGGCCGATCGTCGGCCTCGTGTTACATTTCGTGCAGCTGGAGATCCAATTGCGTACAGTTCAGCAGCTCCATCTCACATGCCGCTGCGGCCTGGGGCTATCTTGGTTCCCAAGCGACAGCGCACGAGAAGCACAAGGCTCGGGTCCAATATGCCAATGATTCTGTGGTACGAAGCCTCACGCACTAAGTTATCTAGACGCACAAAAAGTTTCTTTTCTCCTTAGCTCTCTTTCTCCTATCACGCCGTGTCGGAATCCTTTTGCAGGACAAGCATCCCAGCGCCCGCTACCTCATTGCCACGGTCTCCAGCATGGAATATACGACGCTTTGCACAGCTAGACCTACGGCCGGGTCCAAATTGCGCTCTTCACAATCTCGCCGACGACCTCGAGGTCAACTCGCATCAGGAGAATGCTCAAATGGCACAACGTCGCTCGTGCGTCCTGGGTTCGGATGGAAATACTCGAAACGCTCTGGTGATGTTAATAAAAATCTTCGTGATAGGTTCCGGCAACACTTCAGGCACGCTGAAGCATGCAACCTATTCTCAGACACCTTCGATGCCCTGCCCCTTTCTTCGTAAGCAGCAGCACCTCGTGCTCGAGCTTCTGGCAGACACAACGTGCTACGTGCTCGATTCCTTTTACTCATACGTACAGGGGAACGGAGAGTCTCGTCGACATCGTGCGTCACTACAACTACATTCTATTCGAGAAGCGGGGGGGGGGGGGGGGTAGTGTGCTGCTCCGTCATCCCGTAGTGCTGCCTTACGTGCCGTATAAACGTGCTAGGAACAGTATTTGCCTTTCTTCAGAGAAAGCATCAGCTTTCCAGACGCTTCGGCGCATGTCCAAGCCATCTCGTGAGTGCATTACGTCATGCCATGGCTAAATGCGTCTGTGCTCGCTAGAAGTATAAGGAGACGATGGCCCGCCTGTCTATGCAGAGTCAAAGCCTCTTAAACTGACCATCACGATTTCCTAGGGACGTCCTGTCCTTCCATCAAGAAGAGATGGCTGGAGAGTGGAGCATCTTTGTGGACATCAGGTATGCGCGTCAGAGGCAAACAAGGTTGAAACTTGCTGTCTGGCATTATCGGCGAAGGCGCCGGGAATGTTGAGCGCGACTTGTGCATCCTGCAGAGCGAGAAGGTCGGGAGGGTGTGGGAGCGATTCTTGGCAGGATAGGTCACGTTGTATTTACGCTCGTCCCGCCGCCATAAGCTTGTCACTATCTGACCTGCTACTAATCGCCTTGAGGTTCAGACTACTGTTAACATGTTCTTAGAAACAAATTCCTTTAGCAGGATTCAAGCCCCCACATTGCCTGGAACATACAGCCTACCACAAATATATTGCCATACACAACTTAAAACTGTCATTTATCCTGCTCTGGATCTCCTAAGAAGGAATAGTCTCACTGGTTGACGATGTGCCTTACAATGTGCTGAGCCTCCAGCGGTCGAACTATCATATATCTGGATCTGGATCTGGACCGGTCTTATTCTGTGAACAGTCGAAGCCATTCCCGGCAGACTGGTGCGTGCCTGCTGTGGGCGCGACGCCACAGCTTACACGACGGGAGTCTACGTGTTTCGGTCTCCTCTCTCCGTGCTGGATTGACAGCTAGGTGCACAACAACAAAATTTTGGGGATCCGCCGGCGGCACTGAGAGTACGTGCGAAGGGTTTCCAAGCTTCAAGGGTCTCAATTTGTACTGCTACAACTCCCCGGGCCTGTAGGATGCTCGAGACCGGGGGTGGCGTTAGCAGCCGAATCACCCTTGGCTCGAGTGCATGACTACCACCGCCCCCAGATTTATCCCCTTCAAGAGGAGAACCCGTGCCTCCAGAGCCGCCATTTTTGGAAGCTTCTTATCAGGACGCCTCGTTGCTCCTGCCCAAATGGCGTCTCCCACACCATACCCTCGAACCTTACGCGCGCTTATCTGCGCGCGTCGACACTGTCTTGCCGGCGCTGATAGGCGAAGAGACGACAATACGTGACTTTCCAGAAGCAAGAGCACCGGTGCATGCCGAGAGGGCCGTGTGAAGCACCAACTCAAGATAAGTGTCCTTAGACTCATCTCTTCAAATCAATTCTGTCATGAAAATAAATAGTGATATTTTATTCCTCTGTCAAATACCGTCTATCACTCATTCATGGCAAGACTAGCTAGAGCTTGGACCATGTCCGGAAGATTTCTGGCTAGCCTGGAAGCCTCACCTCGGAGCTGCTCCTTCCTATAGTTGCACGCCGTGTACAGCATTTTGTTTAGCGCCTCATGGCTCAGGCCATCCAGTACACCCTTGCTCGAGTAGCGAGGCGCATGCCGGCCCGTTCCGCGCGGAGAGCCCTTCCAGTGAGCGATTGCCTTGTAGTCGATCTTAGCGTACACCTCCTGGAGATGCTTGAATGCCTGGTCGAGGAATATCGCAACGGGGGACTTGCGATCTTCCAGCTGGATGGGAGGCTTGCCGTGGTCTATATAGGACATCTTCGTCTTGCCACCGACTCGGTATCCATACTCGTCGATCTCTTCTTCGTAGAAAAGCTTATTCGTAAGATCGGCCAACTTGGCAGGCGTCTTCGAGAGGTTGTGCTTGTAGAGGCGCATGGCGATATAGACGATGAGCCAGATGAAGGCTTCGACGTCGTCTTCGACCTCGACAGGTTTCTTCGGGTACTGCAGAACGAGAGCAGAAGCGTATGCCCACGTACCCTAGAAGGGCAACAGTCAGCTGTCTTCGATGTCTCACAGAGGCGGGACACGTACGGAGAAGGCGTCTCGTTCATGTTTGCGTTTGATGTAGTCCCGGAACATGGCAACATCCCAATCGTTCAGAAACGCATCGTCGCTCTCGACGTCTATCAGGATATTGCCGTCACTGATGTCGTGGTGAAGAACGCCGGCGGACTTCCACGCACATTCGTGTGCTTCACAGATGTTAGTCAGGTCTCTCCTCATTAAACAGAGAAACGAGCTCACCGTATCGAGCGCATGCAACGTAGCGCAGCAGCTCCGAACCGGACGTGGACGTTCCCAGAGGACGACCCACGTTGCTGGTGACCAAGCGTATGTGAATACGAGCCACCGCCTTGTCGCTGAATGGAAGCCCATGCATGAAGTGCTGCGACTGCGTCCGGTGGTGCACGATGTCGCCGCCGGCCTCGAGCCGCGCGACGCCCAAGACACCACGCCCCCTGATGTACTTGATGGTGTCGAGCTCGGACCGCATCTCGTCTAGCCAACGCCACTGGTCCTTGAGAAACGACATCCGGTCTTCCGCAAGGTCGTAGACGACATATCCCACCGTGCTGCGTCCTGCGAGCGGGCGACGGGTCGTGACTGGGCGGCCGATGAGGTACTTCTTCATCTTGCGTGGGAAGGGTATGTTGATGCGCAGGAGTCCTGCTTCGCTATCCTCGTCGGAATCTTCACCATCCAGACCCAATCCCGCCATATTCGGGAAGCGCTGCCTCAGCTTGGTCAAGTCATCGGCTAATTCAGTACTTATAGCCGGGCAACTGATCTGGAGTCCATGTTGATAAGTATGGAGTGCGTCGAGAATAGCTGGTGCATACCTCGTAGATCGGATATTCCTCCGCGTTAGCGAGAATATTGTTGCGATGCTGCGCGAGGTACATATTCCTGGGGTTGTACTTCCGAAGCTTCTTGATCTGCTGGGACGTGGCCAGCTTGACCTGGTCATCGAAGCCCTGGTCCAGTGGCGAAAGGTAAGCCAGCTGAAACACGGCATTCTGCAGTTTGTAGAGTTCGCGAGTCAGATCGATAGGCACAGACACGATACAACCAGCCCGGTCCCAGCGAGACAAACGAGCCGCAGACTGAGAGATGTGGAGCATGAAGATATGTGTGCGGTGCTGATGGAGGAGAATTTCGGAGATGCACTCCTCGAGCGTTCGCCGTGCTTCATGTCCAGGAGCCGTTTCTACCAGGAACGGTAACTCCTCACTGCTTATCTCCTTTCCGGAGCTTTCGGGAGGGCAAAAGTGGAATGCCGCCGTGGATTCGTCTGTGACCACCTCGACCGGGGAGACCATCCACGCCCAATAGTTCTTCGCCGTTACTGCCTCCGGATTTTTGAACAGTGCAGCAGCCGGGGCGAAGGCCGTCGCGTTGTGTGCCTCTGGAACGACTTTGAAACGATACGGAGAATCGCCCAGTGCCGTGTTGAGTGCATCGTACTACACAAATTAGTCAGAAGGAGGCAGACGGCTTTAAATAATATATACGAACTAGGACTCCGGACTTGATCGACCTTGCGTTCGCACGTCCCTTGGCGCCACGCCTTGTGGCCACACTCTTGACGAACGGCCTGGAACATCTAGCGGGGAGCTCGCTGCCGATGAAGTTATCGAAGAAGACGCCAAGCGGAACTTGTACGTAGAGGAACTGATCCCGGCCCATAGCTGCTCACGCAAAGCTTGTGAGAATGGACAGGAGGAGGAAAGAGCAGATTATGGGGTGTGGCGAGAGGCTGATTTCTTTTATAATCTTGAAAGGAGCAAAGGATATTACCTTTAGGCAGGTTTGCCGCTGAAACATGAACAAGGCCAACATCTTGGACAAAGGAGCAAAGGTCAGTGCACGCGCCGCCTTTGGACCAAGGAGTTGCCACTCGTTGCTGAGCGACAAAAGCAAGGGCCGATTGTGGCGGCCCATCCGAAGACCCGTAAGCGCCGTATGTTCGCTTTCGGACTGGCCACCGTTAGCCTCTGCCGGCGGGCTGCTCATCCAAATCTTCTAGACTCTAGACGCAACTTTCTACCGCAATTATCAATGTCTCTCCGAATCTTCGTGGGCTGCATCATTTGGTAGCTGTGCTAACAGCATACTGTACCCGTACGACCAGTCGGCGGGAAGCCCTCAAACTATTTTTCCGACGGTCCCCCCAAATCACCATGAATCGAGAAAAAACCATTGGAGGGATCGGCGGAAAAACCGTGTGACGCGTGATCGCCGGACTGGTCGTACAGATACAATGCGCAATACCTTGATCACAGGCCGGTGAGACAAGTCAATAGCCGTGGAGAAGCGCTCCGTTGAGAGTACTACTCGGTGCGAGCGAGGACAGGACGATGATATTTGGCCAAAGAGTACAACCACGCGTCTGGAGACGATAGTGAACCTAGGGCTCTCATGAGATCAGAGCCAACTCAGGAGGACAGACTGGAAGCAGCTGAGGAGCATATCAGGCAAAGTAAAAACAGATTGGATGAAGATGAGGAATGTAACCAGTGCAGATATAATCTCCATGACTGTTTTTCGTTACTGCGGACTTTCGAGGTCCGTTCAGATTCCGCCCGGCCTGTTCCGAGCGACGACCTCATCAAACATATGATGGGGGACGGGACTTTATGACAAGCGCCCGAGGCCAACCTTCCCACCGCTAAGGCTCACTTGTCACGACACGTTAAAGGTCAACTTCTCACGCTATAGGACACTGGGATGGGCGGTTATAAAGTCCACGGGACAGATTCTTGCATTTCCGAAATTTGACATTTTGCAGCCATGGTTTAGGATTACGTGATAAGGCGCTTAATGGGCGCTTCGAGCTCGGTTCCACCTCAAGTGGCAGGTGTGGACGACAGTGGAGGTCTACCCTCATTTGTAGGACTATTATGATGCAGAGAGAAGTATCCCAGATGTTTGAAGAAGGGCTAATTAATGCTCTCTAGAATGCTCTATGGGGGTATTTAAGGTGTATGGAGCCGTTGACCAGAGGCGAATTTGGCCGTTTTCCTAGGGTTAGGGTTAGGGTTAAGTTTTTTGATTTTCTCGTGCGTCGAGATTTGGACTTAACTAGGCCACTCTGCTCCCAAAAATCGCATTTTGCGGCCCTCCCGGGTGAAATTGCGGCTTGACATAAAGTTCCGTCCCCCCATACATCCAGCTGCAGCTCAAATTCTCTGCTACACACGATCTCCGATTCCTCCCTTATCATGAGCATTTTCGGCTGTTCAAAATTCAGATCGGTCGCTGTTAGTCAAACATGCAAGCCGGCAATCGAGTGATCCAGTTCTGACTCGGCGGGTCTTCACTAGACGTCTGCATCAGTACGACATGCTTGTAGATAGATTTTGAACGGACACAAAGCCGTATGTAACGCCTGCGCTCTGGGGTCTTAGCTAAATCCGACCCTTTTCTAGGTCATGGTGGCTCTTTGTACAGTAACCGCGCGAGGTGACAGTGGCAATCCGGTTGCATAGATCCCGCATTGAGGTGAACGCGCTGGTCTCGTGCCCCACTGCTTGACCTCGTGTTGATTCCGCAGTCCTGAGCCTCTACATGGTCTTGCAGAAGGCATATCAAGCCAGACAAGTACGCCTCAAACATCATGGTCGAAGCCTTCGATGTCTGATACTTAAACGTCGTGTCAAGTTCACGATATTTGACCGCATGCTTACCCCACCGCCGCGGATCCTTCGCCGACGCTCTCGAGAAAGGGTCGCTGCGCTGTGCGTACATATAAATGTCACGTCTGCGTGGGCTCGACCGCAACGCACCCCCTCTGTCTCCTTCAGAGCGACGCACATTCAACATGTCCTTCGACAGCTCGCGAACATCCGACATGTCCGATGACTCCCTCAGTGCTGCTGCACCCGATGGAGCTATCGGATTGTCTGATGCTCAGTATTCTTCTGCCCGCCGTAAAATGCTTGATCTGATTAACAGGCTTCATGCTACCGGGTGAGTTACTCTGCTGTCCAAGTGATATGGCCGGACCACTGAAGTGGGACGCGTAGCGTTCAAGCGGACATGGATTTACCCTTGATCTCCGTCATCGGCTCGCAGAGTGCGGGAAAGTCTTCGCTCATCGAGTCTATATCGGGGATCAAATTACCTCGTGCTAGCGGCACTTGTACGCGGTAAGTCCGATGCGCCTTCGGTGAGCGAACAACAAAAATCTGACTACGTGCCGGTAGATGCCCGACCGAGTGTCGGCTGTCGTCCTCCGACAATCCCTGGCAGTGCATTGTGTCCCTGCGCTTCATCACTGACGATCGCGGTCAAGCCCTCGGGCAGGCTCGCAACGAGCAGTTTGGCGACGTCATCAAGGACAAGTCTCGCGTAGAAGAGCGCATTCGTCGCGCCCAGCGCGCCATCTTGAACCCCAGCACACCGTCCAGGCAGTTCCTCGAGGGACCAGACGAAGATTTCGCAGCTCGAGAGGTTATGTTCTCTAGCAACTGTATTTCTTTGCAAATCAGCGGAAGCGAAGTCGCGGATCTGTCGTTCTGTGATCTTCCTGGTAAGAAATTTAGGACGTGTCCCCTTCATCATGATACTCAACGTTTCAAAGGCATGATCGCTTCCGGTCCAGACAAGGAGATCATCGAGAATTTAGTTATCTCGTATATCGAGCGGCCGAGTTGCATAATCTTGGTCACTGTCAACTGTGAATGTAAGTACCTGTACATGACACGTCGCTTTCTCTTGATTGGGATGTTTTTCAGACGACTGGGAGAACCAGAGAGGCTTCGACTTGGCCCAGGAGTATGATCCCGATGGGAAGCGAACGATTGGTACGTGACTGTTATTCAGTACTTTCTCCTTCCGTTAACGTGATGGTTGCCAGGGGTCCTGACCAAGCCAGATCGTATCTCCGCTGGCGATCAGGAGAACTGGCTTCGCTTCATCCGCAATGATTACAAGCCCCTAGAGAATGGCTGGTTCAGCGTCAAGCAGCCGGACACAATTGCGCTTCAAGAAGGCATCACTTGGGAAGAGGCACGTGCTAAGGAACGCGAATACTTCTCTTTCACGCCTCCGTGGTCCACCCTCGAATATAGTTATCAGCAGCAATTGGGCACAGCAAATCTCACCGAGCGGCTGAGCAGCCTCCTGTCAGCTCTTATTGCGAAAAGGTGCGCAACCATTCTCCAGTATGGCCTTTCATGCTTCTAGACTCCGGTTAGGCTCCCCGAGCTCCAGGATGAGCTGCAAAAACTCATTCAGAAGACGGAAGAAGGTATACGCCAGCTTCCAAAGGCGCCGTCTCAAGATGCTCTCACCGAGATCATCCATCTTCTGGCCGACTTCTCGCAAGATCTCGCCATTTGCTTGGAGGGTACACCGAACGAGGATGGCCTTTTACAGCGGATTCGTCCCCATGAGGCTGCATTTAAGCGGTCTATTCGCTCAACCGCGCCTGATTTCAAGGCCATTTCTGCCGCTGACTTATTAGATCCTACCGCGAGCTTTCACGAAGTGGGAGAGGAGAGCTCTGGGACCCTTGAATTTCTCGCTAATGAGGAAGGCAGGGAAACAATGGGCCTCAGTGATCGGTGTTCGATCTACATCGACGAGGTCATGAAACGAGCCAACCAGTAAGGATTCGCGCTGAACACGCCGTACTTAACTGTTAACGATCTCTCCTCAGAGCCATAACAAGGGAATTACCGGATCACCACCCGTTCATCGTCGCCAACGAGTATATCACTTCTATTATCTGCAAGTGGCAGCTCCCTGCAGAAAAGCTGCATGAAGCAGTGTACCAGTGTCTCCTACAGCGCGTAAAGGCTTTGACGCAGAAGCACTTCGGGAAGTTCTCTCAGGGCGGTCTGCATTCTCGCGTCACGTGTGTGATTTTTGTACTCTGTGCGACGGGCTTCTAACCGCTGCTCCAGCGTCCTCGTAGTTGACTACATGAAGAAATGCGGGGAGGAGACGCGGGACAGTATCTCATGGCTGCTCAACCTCGAGAAACGGCCTCGCACGCTGAACGACCATTACTATACCGAGTACCGTGATAAGTTTCTCGCGCATTACAAGGGCTGCAGGCGTGCCAACACACATGGCTCACTCATATCCAACCTCGCGGCATACGACTCTGGTAAACCCCCCAGTAGCTACTCAAGCTCGAGGAGGCCGGTCATACCCAACTTTGCGGAGAGCACGAAGGGAGCTCTGTCCCGTCTGCAGGAGATCAATATCTCGTGTAAGGCAGCAGACCTCCCCAAATTGCTTCCCTCAGACCCGTATGAGCCCGCGCTGCATATCATGGCCACCGTGCGTGCATACTTTCAAGGTGAGCTTTCTGCTTTTCTGCTGGCCCTCGCTTAAACCCTCGCTTGGTCAGTCGCGTACAAGCGCTTCGTCGACAACATCTCGAACGCCATCGACCAAGAGCTCGTGCTCAGCCTCGCGCGCGATCGCGGACTCGAGGGTGCGCTGCTGCAGGGACTCGGCATCACCAGCGCGGATGGCCACGCGCGGTGCAAGGAGTTTTTGCAGGAGCACCCGCAGGTCGTCACACGGCGCGAAGAGCTGCAGAAGCGGTGGGAGCGACTCGACTCGGCGAAGAGAGAACTAATGGAAATGTGGATGTAACGTGTTCGGAGATTTGTGTTTATTTCTAATTTCTTGGAACCCAGCGCATGCGCGCGTCACTCGACAAGCTACTCAGTTCGGTGTGCTTCGAGTCGGCAGCTCAGGGCAGAGTCAGATACCGTGTAGTTGTATGGAGATAAATATTCGTAGAGAATGTAGATCCCAAGTAGTCATTTGATTTATGCACGATGAGAACAGCGTCGGGTGCAACTGCATGGACGAGTGGCAAAAAACTCAGCAAAGTATCAGTCTCAGCAGCACGCTCCTCTCTCGAGCACGCAGGCGCTACAAATCTTGTTGCTGGGCTTATGGCTTGATGGTTTTGGGGTGAAAACCCGCATCGCGGAAGATACTTATCTATGGGCAACAGCCGTGAGGGTGAACCGACTGGGACATGTGAAACGGTGAAAGCCAGACCTCGTCTAGAACCGTAACTGGCCGATGACGAGACAATCGGAACAAAAGCAGAAGAATGGTGTATGTTGAGGAAAAATTCAGTATACACCACGCATACAAGCCTAATACTCGGCCCCGTGAAAAAGCTCCTTCAACTTATACCGCGGCGAGATGAAGTGGAATGTCACATAGCCCACAACCCAGCTCTCCCACGCCTTCTTCTCCTTCTCTCCCTGTAGGATCTGCCGAGCTCTGTTCACGAGGTCGATAGCGTCTTCCATCGTGTCAATTAGAGAACCCTCGATATCTTTACCCGTGGCACGGGCGCGGTCGTGAATAAAGTTGTTTTTCTCGCCGGCGAGCGTTTCCTTGTAGAACGAGAGAATATCGCTGAAATTCAACTTGTCAGAAAACGCCCTTCAGAAGCGGAGAGTAGACCAAAACTTTACTTGACATAGGCAAAGTATGAAATTCCCTCGCTATCGGCGTCTCGTCAGTAGCCGTCACTCCTCTGAGAAATCGCGGATACGCACGGGATCACTTGGATGTGCGTCGACACGTCCGGAAAGTGCACTTTATCAAATGCGCAGAACGTAAACGCCTCGCCTATGCCGTTACGAGACCGCTTATAAAGAGGGTAGTCGCGTGCCGCGGGATGCACTACCATGCCTTCGGACTCCTTGTCGAACAGCGTGCAGACAATGTACTGGATCGTGTTCGCGACAATCGACGCCGCACCGTACGGGTGGAAGAACTTCGGCATTTCACGCAGCTTGCCCACAAGCACGTCGAGGAGCGGGTGCAGCTGCACCTGGCCTGCGTGGAATCGTTCCGCAAATGCGGCGACGGCGTCCTTGTTAATTTCGAAGTCGTCCACACAGATGCACAGCGCCGTCCACTGCGCGAGGTGTACCTGCGTTGCGATAGATGTGTGAGCGTACGCCGTCTTCGCATTGTTGATAGCCGTCACGACGTGGTGGTGCAGCCGCCGAGGCGACGCGTCACCGATGTCCCAAGCCGCAACTTCCTTGAATGTCAGACGGTCGACCTCGTCGCCGAACGCGGCGCCATCAAAGGTGGGCATCGCAGTGCCTGTCCTGCGCAGGAACTCGGTGACCACGCGGTGGCAGAGACGTGACTAGAAGGCGCAGCCAGCTCAGCACCGCTGTGTAAGACAGGATATGCGATATACACACTAGAGACTCGGCCTCAGATTTCTTGTTGTCGGATTGTTCGTCTTTGGAAGCATGCCTCAGTGCCTGGACATTGCCCTCAATCGCGAGAGTGCTATACGGTAAACGGTGACCATGAGCTATCACTAGCGTCAGGAAGCCAGCATGACGTACCGGTGGAATTGGACGACTGTGGGCATGCTGCAGATGTTCTACTTGGGGTAGAGGACTGGAAACTCCTCTGGCGAGTCATCCCTGTCACCGCAAAGTCTTTATACCTTGAGAGATACCACTTCAGGTTTCCCAAGCCGTTTCAATTCGAACTATGTGCGCCTCGTATGGCAGACCTCTGGTTCATGCTTCCTATCGGGGCGCTGGATTGGTCAACGAACAATTCCATCCGTCGTCGAGGCCGGTGGGATGACTGGCGTGACGGTCACGGCCACGTCCCTAGCGCGAAAGTTTGGCCGGGACGAACGCGCAGCGAAGTTCATTGGTGGTAAGCGCCCTTTTTTCGGCGCAAAATCGGCCAAAAGTTGATTGAACTTTCTCCGGTTTTCACTCCAGAAAAAAAGAAGATAAAACTCAGTTTTGCGCCAGTTCCTCCTCAGTTCGCATCGGCGTAGGATCGAGGAAAAGCTAGGCCTTATTTAGTCGCTTTTGTCTGAGTTTTCTCGAGAAAAAAACTGCGCTTACCACCCTGTGTTCGGCGACGGAAAGCGCTAATTCGCCCCTCCAGGGCCCATTGCTAGGGTTAGGCCAGGGTCAAGCAGCTGTTTCGCTCGCAAGGAGCCCTGAAGGGTGCGCAGATATTGTATGCGGCTTGTCTCTCTCCATTCCTCTCTTTACTTTTCTTTCCTGCGCTGGGGAAAGGCCGGGGCCTTTGCAGCCCGCGGCGGCTCGGCCCCTGGCCATGACCTTCCTGTTATTTCCGACCCTTGGCCGCGGCGCTACTTCCATTTTTCACGCCAGGGTATGACCAGAGCGACCCCGAGCTATTTTGGAGAGCTATAGCCACGACTTCAGTGACTGGGTGCAGCCCTACGCGGCATAATTAACACGGCGAAGTCATCAACAGTCAGGCCACGGTCGACACAAGCGGTGCTCACCATATCAAGATATTATCGGACAAAAATGACAATTCCGCTTTCGTACCTTCCCCAAAATCTACTTTTTTCGTATTGCGTGTTCTTGCACTCTCGTGGACACAAGTGTATGTTCCCCCACCCATACTAGCGTGCACACCATACAAACTCACTCTTTTTAGGCTTTCTATCGTCGTGCATGGGCGCATACCACACTATGCACCACTGTGCGTATGTGCCCTTCGTGCGTGCTACAGTATTCGAACACGCACCAGCGTGCACAATCATACGCCCACGAGTGCTAAGAGCAGATGCTAAATTCTCTACTCATGCGAAAACGAAGATCACGGGTATGCATGTACGGGTACGTACGGACATGAACGCATAAGTTCGTGGGCCATCGTGCCCGTACGTGCGCTTCCATGCGCGTTTGGTGACGCCCATCCACTACTGCCGCCGATTTGTAAGTAGATGTCGACCATCATCGAAATTCTTTATCTTTGTTCAATCGGCCCTACCACTGTTGGGCCTGCCTCAGTCTTAGGACGAACAGACCCCGAGCGGGAAAGCAAGTACGCTCATCATTGATGCTTCCATTCCCTCTGCCTTGGCCATAGGCCGAGCTATGTATTCTCCACATGGCGACTATGATGTTCGCACATAACTATGCTGATACCTAGGTGTACGTCGCACTCTTCACGATCCTAGTCGTATACGTCGACGACCTCGAGGCCGACTCGCATCAAGAAGATTTTCAAGTGGCTTAATGTCGCTCATGCATCTGGGTTCGGATGAGCATCTCTGGAGCGCCTCGGTGATGCTCATCAATACTCAAGACAGGTCTCAACGACATGAAAGGTTAGCTGGCGTATGTCCCCTATTCCAAGGACACTAACGCTGGGACTCTTTTCTGATACTCGCCGAGTTTATAGACCGATCCCAGACGGACAGCCAGCATTTGCACCCCGTGCTCGAGCTTCTGGCAGATACGATGTGCCGGATGCTTACTTATTCGTTCGCACGCGGAGACGGCGATTCTTATTAGAACCGTACACCAATTCAGCTGCATGCTGTTTGAGAAGCAGAAGATCGACGTGTCGCACCATCCTGTGGCGCTACCATACGTGCTGTACGAGCGCGCGGAGAATAACCCCAGCGAGGTCTACTTTCTTTATCGTCTGGGACAGGCTGAGTTTGTTGGGAAGATCAGCACAAATTCGGGCTATCCGTGCGCGCTCTAAATCTTGCTATGGTTAAATGCGTCTGTGCTCGCTGGCCGCGCAGGAAGACAATACCCTGCACGGACTACGCCAAATTAGTGCCTCTTACTATGCTAGGTATCATGATATCTTAGTGACACTCCGCCCTTCTATGAAGAATGGTGACCGGGGAACGACGATACGCGTGCTAGAGAGAAATAAATCAGGACTTTGCTATCAGACTATTTCGGCGGAGCCCTCCTTGTCGTTGAGTGCGGCTGCGTATCCCGCAAGGCGAGGAAAGATAACCCAGGAGCAACTCTTGATAAGACAGGTCGCGGGATTCTAAAATCGGCGAATAAACAACATCACCGCGTGTATCTTATTAGAAGTACCCTGAACCGCACCGGAAGCTTAGTACCCAGAAGAGTTACATTTCAACAAATCAAGACAGCGTTTGGAGGGTGTTTTATCAAGTCATCTACATTACGGCACTAGTCTCCGTCCGAGTCAGCCGTTTGATAAGACAGCAGAGTGGCCTTGGTCCCGCGCAGCAGTTCGCGAAGGCAATGCAGGTCGCTCATCGATATCCTGTCCGTCTTTATTTATGATGCGCGAGAAGCCAAGATCAGTCGCACCACGCTGGGTGCAGATGTCGACCAAGTCTTGGGCGGAGTCTTTGCTTTTCATCGCTGTAAGAGCCTGAGAAGCATGGCCGCGCGTAAATCGGTGCTGCACCCACCATCTTGAGACATAAATTCCTTCAAGGACTTTCGATTTCCACTCGATTGGCTTCCCAAGCCATATGGAGAGCAACCATAATTCCCTCGGGTAATCATAATCACAAGCTTCAGAGCGACTCAGGAGATCGGACGCCGCCCAAGACGAGCACCTGTAGGCTTGTCAAGGTAGAGAGGAGCTCCACGTATGGCATAAATACGTCGTGATAATGCCTTTTCGATGCGGAGAACTTGGAGATCCTGCAGAGGCATAATCGACAGCAGGGTGCTAATATCCTTGGGGCTGTAATTCTTCCAGCCGTAGACTCCAAGATAGACGTCTGGATAGGCGTCGACGTAGGCTTGGCTTATATTAAATCTCGACGTTCATGTCGCCATCTTTTGAAACGTAAGAACTGATGGTCATAAGTGGGCACCTCACTTGCAGGCCGAAAAATGCGTCACCTACACAGATAGTAGCTTGCTGATTAGTTCTTTATTTTTCTGACGAGCAGTCGCGAGTGGTGGCTGCCAATGAAAGAGATGGGAGCCTGGGCGCTATATACGACAGAGTCGTCGAAACGGGGCATTAAAATTCGCACGAGCATGCGACGATTAACGTCATACTGTACATATGGTTGCTCGCACATTGAAGAAATCCAGGAGGACATCGTCCTGCTGATTGATACAGAAGGGAACTCTCGTGCCGACCATCGCCTTCAAGTCCCATGTCACCACCTCAGCGGCAGGGAGGGACTCCGGTCGCGAAGCGCAGATCTAGAGGCGTCTCGTGCATGGAAGTTCTTCACGTCTTGCATGACGAGATGGTCAAGCATACGTCCCTCCGCACTCTACCTTGCACAAACACGAGTCAATTCTTCCGCAGTGCCACTGTGCTCGTATGGGACTGCAAAGGCGGGGCAAGTTAGGCGAGCATGGGAGCGAAACGGCAAAATCTTACTGCCAAATAAGAATTCAGAGGGATCTCCTTCGGGCCATTCGCCCTCTGGCCCACGAAACTCGAATTCCCTTGCAGTAGTGGCAGCAATGAGCTGCAAGACGGCCTCTGGGAGGACGGACGTAATGACGAGTCCACGCAGACTGGGCATGACGCAGAGATGTGCTAGCGCTCCCCGCGTGTCATACGCAAAAACCATGCGCCCAATCTCGAGCACTTGCAGGGAATGAATCGGTAGGGACATGAGCAGCGATGTCACATATTCTTCACTGGCATCCCTTGGAATCGCAAGCTGAACGTCGGCATGTGGCTCCGAAGCGTTGTCGCCACAAGGGGTCCGCGAGAGATCCCGTACAGTTCTCCAGCCCTGAAGCATACAGCCGCCAGTGTGCACTGTAATGCGCAGCGATTGAATCGGCTTAAACTTCGAGTCGAGTTCAGTGCGCTGCCCCGCCCAGGACGCGATAGCGCTTATGGACTGGTTGATGGGCAACAAGTGGACTCGGAGGCCGCGGGTCCACGGAAGGAAGATCTGTATTTGCACATCTCGGGGAACCGCCAAATGTTGAAAGACGTTAGCACAAGAGCATATGTCTCCCGAGAGTCGTAACGTCCGGAGGCGTGAAAGTGAGACCTCACGCATAGGCTCCCCACCGAGTTCAGCATCAAGGAGCTCAACATCCAGGAGCTCTAGTGACGGTGTGTTTGCGAGGGCCCAGACAAGCTCTGCGGGAGTGGCGAAGTAGTATTCCCGTGGCCCATGGAACTTAGAACACGGGCGTAGAATGAGTCTTCTCAACGAAGGGGAGCAGATACTGTGGAGAGAGCCCCGAAAGGAGTATGGCGCTTCGAGCTTCTCTAGACGTGGGAATCCCCAAACCACTGATGGAGGGTCGCTGACCTCGAGGGAAGGTTGAATGAAAACAGGTCTACGCAGGAGACGAGCCTGTGTAGAGTACTGGACAAGTGGTCGGACCTCGAGTGGCATGATCAGAGTGTCAATCCGAGATATATAGGTGCACGATATTTTGCGGAGTCTCCAATGGGGCAGTGAGGTTGTCGAAACCGAAAGTGTTGATGCAGTTGGGTCATGGGAGCACCACGGTCAACGACTGGCTCCCCGCACGCTTGATCATGTCCAGCGAGCGTTGCTCGCCTGTGACTGCGATAAATGACCAGAGGGACGAGCTCTCGAGCGCAAGGGCGCGCCACGCTTGCATGACATGAGTGACATAGATCCAAGAATATGGCCGAGGATAAGGACTCCAGATGTCCCTGTCTCTTGTTATTAGAAAGCGACAGAACGCGTCTTGAGCATCTTGCGCCAGCAACATGAAGATATGGATGACAACCTCCGGTTGATGCGATGGTGGTCATCTCTACTACACCAGCGATAATCTCAAACCATAACCTGGGCATATAATATAGACAGCTCACGATATAAATAAGCTCTCTTGACGAGCTAACTCTTCAAAGGACGAGCAGGTGGTGGTAGTCAAGTGGAGATACGAGAATGTCACACGTGGTGGTATCATGAGCGCATACCGCAAACATAAAGCTCCATTTTGTTGGGGCAGTTTGTCCGAATGATGGCACGTGCACGCAATCCGCGCCTGGCAGGACTTGTCGCGATTGTCATGCTTGAGTTTGGAGAATGGCTGCTCTATGCAACATGAAATGTAATGCGGGTGAAGGCAGAGGTACGACAAGATCAGCTCCAGAACAGAAGCAGACCATGGCAAAGAACGAGGTCCTGGAAGCGGCAGTAGTGCACCATCAGCATCAATGAACAGGAAGCAAGCTCAAAAGAATAAGGAGTATCTGGCCAGATCTCGTATGTTTCGGTTGTATTTGCTAGGAACAGCTTTGTAGATGGTACTCATGCATGATGTGGCCCAATGCACGGATTATACATACGAAAGCGAGCCGACAGAGCTGGCAGATAAGTACCTATGCCCAGCCCCCTAAGGCTTGCCTGTGCCGGGCTAAGTCAGCCTCACAAGCCGGACAAGGCACGCACCACTTACAATGATATCTACAGCGCATACACTCGCTTCTTACGTGCGCCGCACCCTATTCCAAAGTCTCCTGACGAAAGACTCACGTTCCACCTTCGAAACGTCCTCAGAAACAGGGTCAGGCCTGATGAATCTGCTGATGTCTCCGCCTTTCGCCTCCACGCCGTTATCCGCCGAGATATACCGTCGTATGCCACCCATGAACGACTTTTCCAGGGACCGCATGCCCGTGCTTTCACGTTCCCAAACTCCGGTTGTCCACACAGATAGCGGCCCTGTCCGTAGGTTCTTTGTCGACGCGGCGTCTGGAGTTGCAGGTATACTACTTTGCTGCAGCTTCTCGGCGGATTCTTCGGAATTCGTGGGTGTCGAGGCGTCTCGTTTTGGCCGTCGCTTCGCCATACGATTCGCCATGACGACATCCGTGAATATTCTGTCACCGACGACGATCAGCTCATCGTCCCGTATTGGCGCAGGCAGGGACGAGAAGTATGTTCGGAGGGAGGAGATGCACGAGTACGACGGCTTGAACGCGCTATGACGAAGCACGGGGGCCCTGAGATGGAATGTGACAGATTCAGCCTGGGGAATGCCATGTTAGATAGGGTGCGGAACGATGAGCGTGCCACGGACCTGTATCTCGCCTGGATCCACGCGCGTTCCCGCGGAGTTGCTCACAATGAGGACATTGCCCTCTCCGAAGGTCTTTCGACACTCGCGCCACGCATCCTGTATCAATGTGCTTCAGCCCGTTTGCTTTGTGTGTGCATGCACTTGCATACCGTCAATTCCGGTACGAGCTGGTCCCTGTGAGGTAATGTCTATAGAAGGCATTAGACGAGCTAGCTTGTCAATCATATTGAAGCGCACCAGACAATTATCTTTGTCAAATACAGCACCTCTATAGCCTGCTTTCCGCAGCTCAAAGAAATCAAGCTGGCGAATATCTTCCTGTGGACGGTACTCAGCCCCTTGTCCGCATTGCACCTTCCGGGCTAAGGCACTGACCTCTGACGACCACTGAGGGTACGACCAAGCGTGGATTCACGAGTAAGTGCAGAGGAACCAAAGTTCCGGGAAGATTGAACGGCATTCTGGCATGGGCTGTTTTCGAGATACACGCACAGGAGATTGAACACGACCAGGCTGCACTCAGGCGCCTGTCTGAAATCCTACGACACGCGAAACTCCGATGTCCATATCAGGAAATCAACAATGCTCAGGCCTTTACAGCTACCCCCAAGATCGACACGGGCGAGTGCTCAGAACTTGAAAGACGACACGGCAGAGGTGTTAGCCCAGCTAATGTGATCGTTCGTCCACCTGCGCCCGGTACCGCAAGCAAACTGTAAGACAGGGCACGCGAAGCGCGACAAAGCCGTGAAAGAAATGACCCTAAGGCTAGTCAGAATATTCGGAAGCGCGACGTATCAGAAAATCAGCGCGGTACACGCCCGTTCATATATGAAGAAAGAGATGCTCAAGCTAAGCTTCAGCTTCAGCCCCAGCCCGGGAGTCTGCGGTTGGGCGCTCGCTGCGCGATAGCCTGAAAGTGATCACTTCTACTCTTGCAATCTACACCGTACTACAAGCTACGCCCTTGCGCATCTGCATTCAGCCCTAAAGACTTTATTCTCCAAGATGCCAGCTGTCAGCGGAGCTAATCTTCCTCCTGAGCTGCTATCCCACATTCTCATCCATGCGGGAGCTGCCGACGTCTGGTCTCGCTCGCTGGACGAACGTCGTCGCTTGAAGCGAGGGCTTCTCGCGCCAAGTCTCGTATGCAAGCACTGGTCGGAAGTGGTCAGATCTTATCTCTTCCGTGAACTTGCATTTCGCAGCCCGGATGACGTACGTTTCTTGGTAAACATCATCGACAGTCCCCAGTTTCGCGCCTCGTCTCTGTCAAGAGTCATACATGAGATACAGGTCCATCAGGACGGTTCTGAGACAAAACCGTGGCTTCATCACATCCACTTACTCTCCTCTCGGCTCCCGAGAACAAACTTCCTGTATGTGGCTGCGGAAAATACAGATGATGCAGGTCCTTGGCGTGGACCATTCCATTCGTTACCGAGGACGCCTCCAACCTCCAACTTGCAACTCTCGGAGCTCACACTTGACGGGCTGCGACTCCCAAGCAAGACCGCGCTCGCACGAATCATTGACACCTTCCCAACACTCGAGCAATGTTTCTGCTTACGGCTTACCTTCCTCGATTCGTCACCTGTGACCCAGTCTCGCAGGCCTCGGCGGCGCTTTTCTTCGTCTCTGACTTGGTGCGAAGTATCGCGCTGCAAGGAGGTGTCCTTTCCTGATCAAGCAATGCTTGCCTCAGACATTCTTGCGGCTTCTGCTCGTCTGAACATTGACAATGATACATGGATCACCGCCCTCCAGGCATTCGTTGCATTCGCACCTGAAACATTTGATAAAGTCACTCTCAACCTTGGTCCCAGTATGTTTCCCGTCTGCTATCAGTGGTACGTAGTTTAATTTATTTTGTTGCCAGACGGTGTGCGCATCGTGCTGGGTATGGCTGATGAAAGTAGTAAAGACGCAGCTGGATGTATTCGCGTCGAAGTCTACGTATACAGACCGAGCGTAAGCCCGGGTCTCGCGTCTCCACCTTCACGTATCAAGAGCATCACTCTCCGGTTCTGCTACGATATTGAAGACGTTGAATCCCTTCCCTTGGACGGCTTACATTCAATCGTGGACCGCCCGCTTGTGGAGAGCCTTTGCGTCGCATGCTTCTTTGAGGAAGGTCCAGAATACAAGACTTTTAAAAAGATCGTGCGCTCTGTCTTGGGTCGCACCCAATTGACTTGGGCTCTTAACTTACGGAAGCTGCAATTCAATCACGCGTATCTCAATCTCGACTCCACCACTACAAGTGGAGACATCCTATCTGTACCAATAGCGCATACTGTCAACGGCATTCCAATAACTCTCGATACTTCTGAACAAGCTGAGTGGCTGCTCTCTGATCCCGGTGACAGGGAAGACTACCTGCAGGAGCTTCTCACTGCGCGCAAAAGCACTGCGGTTGCAGGCACGAGCCCCGGGATCGAGTCATCTGTCACAGGAGGAACACAGGACGCGACCCAACAGACCCAGCATGTAGCAGAGATTGGTGGCTTAGGAGACGGGGAGGAACTTCGGGATGGGACAGTCGGGCAAAACCAGGGGACGGCAGAGGACGGCGGGCGTGGAGACGTGGAGGATACAGGGACGAAGGACTGGGGCACGCGAGCATGGGGGCATGTGAGGTGGATTGCGCAACCCGTTAAAGCGTTCTACCGGGCGATCTATAGAGCTTTGGCATGGGTGCGTACAATGGTATTATGAACAGGGCTCGAGTAGCTATGCTTGATAGCAGCGGGTCTACGCACCAGAAGGATGGACTGAAGGGCTTTTGAAACGCATAAGTTAGCCAGTCACCAGTTCGCGCTCAAGCTATGTCCAGGCAAAAGCAGACACAAACCGCCAAAAAATGGAATTTTAGGATCTCGCTCAGACTTATTGGGATGGGTTACACAAACTAGCCTTAACAGTCTGCTATGTGAGTAAAATATGTGCCAGATTCACACAACTGAGCTGTAAGTGGCTCTCAAGAGGTTGTACATACAGAACGCGGGATATGCTTGCTCTAGCTGCTGGAAGAGTGACCCGCTGTACTAAAATACATGGCCAGCGTCAGTGCTACATCAGCAAAATAATCGGTGGCAGGTCAGAGATGGGTTACCAGGCAAGCGCCTAACAGCATGGTGGGCGCTGGCAATGCAAGAACAGGGGATACCAGGCTGATATCGCACTGCAGTTTCAACACGGACCGATATGTCATTGTAAGTCATTTCCCATCCTGTTTTAACTAGACATGACGCGGCCAGCCCACCCAGATCTCCGCTGTGACGTGACGTCATGCGTGCCGCCTTTCGAGAGGTGCTGCTGACCATCACATCTATGTTGACTGGCCAAACGAACAACAAAGTCTCCTTCGACCTCCCCTAAAGTTGCTCTGGTGAGTTTCCTTTTATGTCTT